AGTAACAATTACAATTTCGTATCCAGATAACACAGGGTGAGAATGTGAGATGGCCCTAGTAGTAATAATTTTCTTAACTATTCTATTTGTATTTCTCGTTCGTATTTTTCATTCACTTCTCATTTTATGTATGTGACTTTTCATGTATAATACAAGGGAAGTGGAAACCAGCCATAGCCATACCTTGAGTCAATTTTGGTTAGGGTCGGTGAAAATCTATACTTCATTTTCCACACTGAGCCCAAGGCTAGGATATGCACTTTTTTAAAATTAAGTAAACAAATATATAATAACCAAAAATGAAAAGTAAACAAATATTTATTCCCCCCTCGGAGACGAGCACTCACAGCAGGCTAATTTAAGTATTTTGTATGAAATAAAATAATACTTTTTTGGTCAATAAAATAAAATATTATTTTAATAAATAATGTCATGGACAGTTGATATCTCATAACAATGAAAAGCTTACATTTTGCCATGTCACTGTTCAATTAGTGACTTAATGGTTGTTAAACATAATATAATAGCTAATTAAAGTTCATGATGGTGATTTGTAAAGAATCCAAGTTTAAAAAGACTGCATATACTCGTTAATTTTCTTTATTTAAAATCGCAGTACAAACTGTTACGAAATTATTATTTTCAAAGTTATGTAAATGCTGAATAACCAATTACGAATGAAGAGGAAAAATAATAAAATTTAAAAGTAGAACACAACTAATAAAATGCAACCAAACTTCTTTTTTTTTTCGTTCATTATTACTTCTACAGAAAAAATAGTACATTTTAGCATTTTTTAATAATGACTTTCATTCACTGTTAGCGTAATTCTTTTACAGTTAATATCAACTAATGTTCTCATAATTGTATTTGAATTCAATTAATAAAATTATATTAAATAAAAATATTTGATCCAAATCGAAACCTTTCCACTCACCTCCTTTCAGAATCACAATCGTCTATTATATCTAATGATAATTAGTTAAATTAGTTGTAAGATTAGTCAACATTATAAAGATTGGTTAATGTTTTTAAGATTGGTCGAACATTGATTAATTCCTAAAAATAAGAACCAATTAAGATTTATCAATGTTAACGAATCTTACAATCAATCAAAAAACTATTATTGAACAAATTGAATAACTATCATAAACCTTTAAATACAATACATTATTACAATTTTGTTGGAAAGAGACTAAAAAGAAAACTAGCTGAAGAGGATAATATTTGACCTATTTTAAAATAAATGGGTTCATTAGGTGGGATCCATATATCAACCACCAAAGAAAGTCAATTGCTAAAAGATTTTGAGTATGAGATCATGCCACATCAGTAATTGGTATGATAATGTGGTGTGAACTATAACATGATATAGATGTAGAATTTAAAATCAAGTCAACTCTGCCAAAGACCTGCATGTGGGCAATAGCAGCTAGCTAGGTCAAGTCAACTTGGCACGTAGTAATACCAATCCCACAAGGTCAAGGTATATGCACAACACACCTTCGTTATTGCATGGATTTACCAAGGTGTCGACTTCCATTGGCGGCTTAAAATATAAGTTTCGAGTTTGGACTTCTTAAGTTTGGAGTTAAGACTTTCAAACACGACGGAGTGTTAATCTTGTCTTCTGGTCTTACCTCAAAAACACAACATGTTGTATTTTGTTGATTAAATCTATTTATTTAATAATTTGCAGACATCCACTTTTCTTTTTACACTATAATTGCTCTTAATTTCTACCTTTCCCATTCTTAAACTATTATGTTAGATCAGTTCAAAAACCATAAAGTGTAATTTTACCGTACTTTAAATAATATTCTCTTCTTTTTGGGCTTGCATGTTGCATGCATAATATTCCTCTTGCGGGGCTCCATAAAAAAATGAAGAAGCACATATTAAGCTTTCGTAAGAAGAAAATTTTATTTTTCTGAGAGCGTACAAAAAATTCCTTCTAATTTATACAATTCACATTGGGAATTAAAATATATGGGGTGTAAATTGTAGATGATGAATTTAAAAGTGAAGTAAAGATTTGATAATTATTCGAAGAAAATCTAATAATAGATCTGTATGATATTCTAATGCATTGGCTGCTCATGTTCTACATGGAAATGTTAGAAAATGTTTCTATATTGTAAATTCTCTTATTTTAAATATTTTTGCTTAATAAATTTTAATATCGTAGTATTTGACGGTAGAGTTTTACTTACCACATCAACGTAATGTCGTACAATTACAAGACCCATCAAAGTAGGATATTGAAGTGGATTATTTTAATTCCACGTTATTTAGAGTCATGTACACAATCTTACTCTTCGTGTAGGTACGCACGCAATATGCATACGGACAAATGAAGGGTAGCTAGAAAATAACAATTCTCCACGTGGCTTTCTCTTGACTAAACTAAGAATAATGTTTCTGATCTAACTTAATTTACTTGTTCAATGTCAAATGCCTATCCATACCATGTCAATAAAGATGATGAAATTAACTGATAGGTAATTATATTATGGTTAATTGTATATGACAGAATATCTAAACATGTCACAGCGAATTCGAAGGAAATATTCTTGCGTGACATAATATTATGAAATACAGTATACAGCTCAAAATATGCAATATATTCATGAAATACCTTTTTTTAACATATGATAATAATGTGATCTCATTTATATCATTAGAGTTTGTTAGTTATTATGAGTGGATGTTGAAGCTAGGGCAGAAAAATATGCAGTACTTAGACATCGGTTACCACAACAGATGACAAAAGACAAAATTTCTTGATATTGATCCCCTCGTTCAACTCCAAAGATAAATTGAGCAGCTATAACTATGTTGAATTTAAAGGCAATTGGAGTTGAAACAAATTAAGCAAGATAAAGCAAAATCACTTACGGTATTGATTAAGTACAATGTGGATGAGAATTTGCCGAGCATTAGATAATTTTTGGAGTTTGGAGTATTATTACTTCCGAAAATTTAACCACGACTGCATAATTTTTTATTCAAAATAAAAAATTGTTAGTGTGTGATTTAAGAGGCATTGATGAAGATCTCTCTAGTTGAAAGTTTTTTACTGTCTTTTAAGTAGATAAAAAGGTACTTACTCAAAATAAGTACTTGACTAATTGTAGGAGTGCAATTCTTTAGATATTTTTATGTTATATTTTAATTAAAATTCAATTTTTAATAATATAATAATGTTAAATATTCATATTTATCAAAATTGTAATTAAAAATAATATAAAAATACTTATAAATTTAAATTCAGGAATATTAAATATATCTACATATACCGTGAATAATGAAACTATTTTAACTTTAATAACTACTTTTTAATCAATGATTATAAATTCCAACTTTAATTACTTTCTAGTGTGAATCTATCACTTTAAACGACATTGCTACGATATTGATGTCTCCAATTTTAATTTTTTTTTAAGAACTTTTTCAAAATATCAGGTTAATAGAAAGTTATCTGGTTATTGTTTATAATATTGTTTATTGAATCAGATTAATATTAAAATATCAAATTTAAATATTTATATTATTTAATAACTTTTTTATAAAATGTAAAATTTATTTTTTAAACAGTTAAATCATTTAATATTATTTTTATAATCTTGTATATTAAATTTTATATTACTTAAATATTTGTTAGTATTTTTTTAATTTTAATATTTAATTATATTTTTAAAATATAATAAACATTAGAATAAAACACTACAATAAAGTGCTTATTAATATAATTATTATATAAAATTTTATAAAACTAATCTAATTAATAACAACCTTCAAACTAATTATTGAATTAATTAATTTTATAACTATAAAAAAATTATTAAATAATATAAGATAGTTTAAATTTAATACTTAATATTAACAAAAATTTTGTTATTCTTTATCAACATTTAGCACAACATTTTCAATAACTCAATCTAGTTTTACACATGTAATTATATCAAGACAAAGAAATTAATAATTTTCTTACTTGTTTATCTTAGTATATACTTAAAATGATTATTAAATAAAAATTAATATATATCTTTAATGAACTAAAAAATATTTAATTGCTAAATTTAATAATAAAATAAATATATTAAATCATGACCAAGTCAGTTATATTATAAATTAAGTGTACTTGTATTTTTTTAAAACCTACATAAAGATTATGAGAAATAGTAGAGAAAAAGGAGTACCGTGCCAAATGAACGCAGTAAATTTTGTGAATCAAGATAATTGTGTTTGAAAGAATTTGTTTAGAAACCAGTGGGTATCTAATTATTAACTTTACACCTCAATAAAACAATATGTTTAAAAGAAAGAACCAAACCATGATAGAGATGGCTCAATCTATGCTGTCCAATCAAAGAATGCGTAAAGCATTTTCACAAGACTCTTGATACATTGTATACTTACTAAATAGATGGCTAACAAAAAGTTGTTTGAAACAAAACTCTATTTTAAATTGAAGAGAAAGAAATGATGAAATAAGCACTATCCTGATAAGAAGGCTTTTGAAAAGAAGATGATTATGCAGAAAAGGAAAAGACACTCCCAACTATATTGTTTTTCAAATTAATTATTGAAACTATGATGTCGCAAGTTGCTCTGATAAATTTATGAATCTACGTGAATGTAGTATATATGTACTCGCATAACCACGTCAAATTAAAAAGAGAGAGAGATTCAGCTCAATGCTCTTCTCGCTACTTCAAGTTTTGTAAAATATTACAAAAATGAAAGACCACCATATTCTATAAAATCTTGAATACTTTTATCAAATACCATCATATATTTATGAACATAATCAATCACAGTTTTCAAAATTTTCTACAATTCACACGGAGAAGCGCTAGACACTGATCACACAGAGAGAAAGTAATACAGGGAAAAACAGCGAGACCGTGTACTATGTGGGAGACATTAATCAGACCACGAATAATGTCACATATTATCTCCCTCACTTAAATTAAAATATGTAATTTGCTTTCTAATTAAGGAAAAGTCAACTTTCTAGAGTTCAAGAAGTCCTTTTTATTGGGTTCTCTGGTGGATACGTACGCAAGAAAACTATCAAAATTTGTGTCCATGTAACGCTTGGGATTGGCTTCATCTATGAGTTTTGGCGACGGTCTCACTGTGCAGTTGAAGGGAAGGCTATGCAACGAAGCCACCGATGCCCTACTCTTAGCTTCATTCACCACAGCCCTGTGCAATACACTCTTGTATCTTCCGTTGCTGAATATCTGATCATTTCAATGGGCACCCCAACATAAAAAAAATCAGCACAATACAAACCAAAAATATGATTTTTAAGATATTTTTGTGTATATGAAGATAATGTTTAGAGTGGATTCACTTATAAAATATTACTTTCGTTTGTATTTGTTTGTATAAAAAAATTATATAGGACAAGCAGTTTAATCATTTTATTATAATTGTTTGATATTTTTTACTTTATCTTTTATTATAACTAGTTTTTTTAACTTTTAAATTATTCAATTAGAATAAATACTTTATTTATTTTTTTAAATGTTTATATGAATAAAAATATAAATAATAATGCCTTTTATTTTTGTATAGACAAAATAATAATAATAACAAAGGAGCCTACGAAAAGTGACTTATAATGCATGTTTTGACATCATGTGACGATGCTGTATGGTTCTCTACTTTTTAATCTTTGATGTAATGTATAAAAAAGAATATTCGAATAATAAAACTCTTTGAGAAGAAGGAATTATAATTACCTCTAAGTGATCACCAATATTGACAACGAAGGCGTTTGGAATAGGTTGAACAGTGACCCATTTGTCTTTGAATTGGATCTGCAAACCTTCAACTTGGTCTTGTAAGAGAAGTGTGAGGAAGCCATAATCGGAGTGAGGGGGCATCCCAAGGGTAAGGTCTGGTTCAGGGCATGGTGGGTAGAAATTCACCACCATCATCTGGCTACCATTGCCCAAGTCTTTCATGATATTTTCCTCTTCATCGTTAGCTTCCATAATTCCTAAACTCTCTAGGATGCCTTCCATTACCACCAGGAACAAATGTCTGGTTTCTTCTGCATAGGTCGCCACAACTTTCCTGTTTCAATTTTAAAAAATGAAAATCCGTACAAAAGTCAGAACTCTCATATTTTTATATCTATTTTTATTACATCATTAATTATATTCTTTAACTTTTTTATCTTTCTCTCTCTTTTTTTCATGTATCTCTCTTCCTTCGGCTCCAAAAATGAGAGACAGAAAATAAAAAATTTGATTTGATGATATCATACAACAAGAGAGATAAAAAAAATGTAAAAAAAAAAGTGTAAAAATATTAATTATTCCTCAAATATTTATTTTACATATTTTCATTTTACACTTTTATACACCTGAACTAAATATGAAACTTCTTTTTCCTTTTCCTCATCTTATTCCATGTGACAGAAGTACAAAAAATACTAAAGAAACGATGTAAAACTTATGGAAGCTATTAATTTGTTCTTGTGCCAGTGTCTGATATTAGCTAGATTATAAATTTTGTACGACAAAATTCAATAATTGACTACAAATTTAAATTAAACTGTAGGTGATGGGGAAATTAACGAATTTAGTTGATTAAATATATTTGTATTGAGGCTTGCTTGTGGGTCTCACCGAAAGTCCACTGGGGAAGCAGGCCAATGAGGGAGGAAATCTGGCAAGGGATGGCACAAGAGTTTCAAGAAATCCCTCCAACACATCACTGTGTCTTTAGTTTGGCTGAAACTAGTCCCACATCGAACTGGTGCCCGCATATCTGTTGTCATGTACTTTGCTCTCTCCTCAAAAGGGAGATCGAAGAACCTCCCACTCACATCTATCATGCTCCTTACTACATCGTCTGAGACACAATGATTTACCAGCTGCATCAATTAAATACAACAAACTTCAATCACTTCACATCACATTCCAATTAATGATTACTGATATTCTCCACGCAGTTTGCTACTCCTGAATGATTTGCCTTAAAATCTTAGGTCCTTTGTGTGTGTGTATCTATTGTTTACTTGAATATGCAGTTTGATTAAATATTTATTTAATATTTCTTTTACTTATATAAATTAAAGAATTATTTAAAAAATTTATATATAAATTACTTTTATTAATTCAAAGTTGTTCTTGTAATGAAATACTTGTATAATATATATATATATCGGTCAGCATGCATGAAGCTCAGTTTCATATCGTATATTACCATACAGAGACGCATACATAAAGTCAATCTACCCAATTTCCTACCTGGAAAAATCCATATTGTTCACAGGCATTGGCTAGAGATTGAAGGACTTGAGACCTATTTGGGCCAATCAATTCGGCAAAATCAATGATGGGTAACTGAAGGTTTTGCTTGGCAACATTTGGATCTTCCACACTTTTGGTGGGTCTCTCGGAAGCAGGAAGTATGTACTTCTTAGGTACCGAGTGAAGATGGCCTTTCTCATATAGCTGCTTCACTCCTTTCTGATATTGACCTTCTGGGGTATCATCCTCGCTCCTGTGCTCCTTTATTGCCATTGCAGGAGACATGTGCTAGCTTCTCAATGTAAAGTAACCTGCGGAAGTAAATCACAGAAGAACATGCATATGATTGAAAAAAGAAAAAAGCTATGCTTAATTTTATATAATTAAAGTGCACGTATGTATAGTGTGCGCTAGGCTTTTCTTTTCCATGTCTATGCATCTATTCTATACAATTTTGTTTCTGGGTGTGTTAGAAGAGATCAAAATGTGAGGAAAAATTAGAAAGAAGAGCTTAAATTGAGTTACTACCAACTACCTTGGTTGAGAAATCGATAATATATAGCGGGGCTTAGAAGTGGCGAAAACTGAAAAACAAGCTTGAGTGGATGCTAATGTTATCATGATTTGATGTATATATAGGGAAGGGAAGAAGGACAAGTGGGGCAGAGAACAGTTGCAAGTTTTGAAGAAACCGGCTTCAGGTTTCTGAATCAAATGACTAATTCCATTCCATTCCAAGTTATTAACAATAACGTTGACAAAAGTTCAGTCAGACCACGGGGCAGGACAAATACAGAAGACCCCATGCCATAAATTGTCTCTTTCCTAGCTAGAACCCACCTCTCTCTTTGTGTTTTTCTTATTATTTTCATTATTATTATTACTATAAATTGAAAATGTTAATTTAAAAAATTAGTCATTATACATTAAAAAATAACAGCTATTGTAGCATATATAAATATATAGCTGACTTTGGGTGTGCATGTCATTAATATATTACAGCCCTTTCCCACTCTCTTGGCTAAAGTCTGTTAAGTACGCAGCAGCCTTTAGCACCCTTCATTATCTCCCCTTTTGTGATGGTAATTTCGATAGTATTTGAATTCAATATAGTTCTAGTAATTCATTTTTGATGGCTGTGTATTCTTTACATGTCTGCTATAATTAATAATCGAAAATCCAAATCTTCACTTGGGCACATACATTTACTTTCCAGGTCGTGTGTAAACTTTGTGACCCAAAATGTGTACATGTTTCGCAGCTGAGGCAACTTTTAGTCTTTTATTAGCACGCCAGATTGATATATTGGTATTAATGGGTAAGTGAGTAGTGCTTTCTGTATGCGTTGTTAATTACTACTCTATCTGCTTTTGTTTGAATTATGATTTTGACTCTCATCCATATTCATGTATCTTTTAATTAATAATGATCATAGACTTGACTTGATTAATGACTTAGGAGTGTTTTAAAATGTTTAGAAAGTTTAAGAAAATAATTTATGATTTTTAATCTTTTTAATATTTCTCTTACAATAATTTATCAAAATATTTTTTTTTAATTTTTTAAATAAATTTTAGGATTAAACTTATGATATAAAAATATTATTAAATAAATACTTAGTTAAATAATGTATTTAACCACATTTTTAAAGGTTATTAACTTTAGTTAATATCTTTTGTCTGCTGCTGAGTGGATCTCCAATTGTTTTTATTAATTTGCTTAAAGGGTTGCACGTTTTAAATTACAGTCAATTTTGTCTAGTGCACATTGGACTGCTTCGAGAAGCTCTCATACATAATTTCTTCTCGATTTTCAAGAATTAATATTCATCAAAAACGTTAAACTCAGTATTTTATTACTGTTAGACCATTTGTTATAAGAAGCTTGTAACTAGCAAGAATTTTCTTCAGTTTAACGATTAATTGCAAATACTTACTGTAAATTACATAGATATATATATATGCTGTATGGTGCTAACAAATTTTACACTGTCTGTCCACTCACTACACCACGTACATTTGAGATTTAATTAAATTTAACAACTCTTTGACGTATCATTAACAATATTTAAATTTTGTTAAATTATTCCTTTGACTACATTTTTAAAATTGTTATACTTAAGATTTCTTAAGATAATTTTTTAAAAAAATATTGATATTGAAAGAAATTGAAATAATTAACATTCAAAAAATAATGTCTTTTAAAGTAATATTAAAAGATTTAAACATCAATTTTATTCAAAGAGAAAAACATAATCAATTTTAAAAATAATGTATATTATAGTTTGAAATAGTTCTAGTTATAAAAAAAATTAACAATTTATATTTTTCAAAATTAATTATACTTTTGGATAACTAATTTTAAAATTCAAAAGGTTACCCTCAAATATTGGTGCTTACTATACAAATTGAACTTTTCACAGCTCAAACTTGATTTTATAAGAAAAATAAAAATGCTCTCTTAGCTAGTAATCGATCACATCAACAAAATTTCTCTGTTCGGTCGGTTGGATTATTATGAATGTCCTCTTATTTTGATCTATAACTAAATTGTTAGATAATTATATAAAATTTACTTAATTAATTAATAGTTAATTGAACATGAATTATCATATAATATGAATGGAAATGACACCGCCAAAATGAATTGCTATTCACCAATCTTATGTATGCAAAACAACTCATTTATATGTGTGTGTATTTGTAGCTACATTACTTGTCCTCTATGGTTTCGAATCTATTTGAAACTACTGCCACGTATAAGTTGTCTGCCATTTGCCAATGGCTATATATATATATATATATATATATATATATATATATATATGTGTGTGTGTGTGTGTGTGTGTTTTCATTTTTTTGACTCACATACTTTTCACTTTACCTCTCCCATTCAGCTAGCTGGAAAAATTTTGTGCAAGTATACTTTAATTAATTTTTATGGAATGAATATCATTAATGATCTATCATTTTGAATAAAAAAGAAAAAAAAATCATATCACTACTGCAAAGTTATTCTCTCATAACACTCTTCAGTATGATTGTCTCAGCGAAATTAAAATATCTTTTCCTCTTACAAAATGTTAAATTAAATTTTTAAAATTTTTTTTTTACTGTGTCATCCAATAAAAATTAAAATTTATATGTTCTGATCAGACTATGCAAGCAATACTGTCAATGGAAAAATTAACCTATTTTTGTAAATACTAAAATTTACAGTATAATATTCAAAATTAGTTATTAGTGATGATAAAATTTATATAAAAATAAAATAAAATATCATTGAAAGACATATACATAACCAGTCGTTATTTTTTAGAGGTTTATTTATATTATAAATTAATTGTAATTTAAACGTATTTGAAGAAAGAAAAATATAATTTATGTAAATTATGTATATATGTACCATCAAGTATGTTATATAAATACATGCAGAGATTGAGTATTTTTCTTGTTTTAAAATTGTGTGTTGTGTTTGGATAGACTAAAATTGTCAATGCATGAATGATAGATCTATTGTTTGTACGAACTCACTCTAAATAATTTTGAGTTTGAATAGTATGAAAGGAGGAAGGCCCATAGAAACTACTGAGTTGTTTTTCTATTAATTATAATTTGGCAATAGATTTAGATGCTAAGCTAATGTCAGAGATAACACTTAGCAGCATCTACCTCGTAACTTCTGTGCAGCTGCTAGAAAGAAACCAGGAAGTTACATATTCACCTCAATTGCAAAGACTAATGCACCAGAAAAAAAAATACTCAAAGGTAGACTTTAAAATCAAATCTATGAAATTAACTTATACACTATATATCTTAAACTAGCATACTTCAATATATAAAATTAGTTTAATTTTGGTATTTTGGGGTAAGTTACAATGGGCTATATGGTCCGTTAACCATCCAATTATTTGTTAAAAGATTCTTAGAAAATTTGCAAAGATGAATGATTTTTTTTAATAGACCGAAACTTGTCCAAATTAACATAAATACTTAAACAACAATATCAATTTATTTAATGTATTTAGTATGCTTTTTTTATTTTATTTTTTTTAAACATAGTTTTATTATTTATATGTTAAACATTTACAAAATAACTTAAAAATTTAAACTTTTTAATAACTATACATTACTTTTTGTAAAATTATCAATTTTTTAAAAAGCCTTCTCACAAAACTGCATCAAAAAATAAACAATTATTTTCTTAAAATAAGCTTATATCTAAATATGCATTCAATACAAATACTTATTAATTATCCAAATAATAAAATTTTAATTTTCTTTTAAAAATTTGAGTGTTTATGCAACGAGGAAAAGAAATTGATTATTATTTTTTAATATTATTTTGACTTTTTAACATCCGTAGTCTTTTAGCCTTAACAAATCCATGTCTTGTTTTGTATGACATTTTCGTAAGTTGCATTGAATTTTGTTCCCATTTATGCAATTTTTTTAAGTTTTCTTCAAAATTTGTTATTTATACTATTATGAACAATTTTCTCAACGGACCACAATTTTATTTCTTTAAAATATCATTGTTATTATTTGATCAAATTATATTTTATTTCATTTGTTATTGTTTTCATTACTTTATTACATTATAGTTAATTTTTAATAAAATTATATTATTATCACAAATTCTTCAATGTTATTCTTATTTTTCTTGATCTAAACTAAAAATAAATAAATCATCAATGCACTATCATTTTAGTAATTCATTTTTTAATACATTCTTAGTTATTAATTAAAATTTATTATAAATTATAAAAAATTATGTAAGTGTTACTTTTTTTATGTTTAATTTAATATTTTTATTTTATTTTTTATAATTTTAATAAATTGTAATTAATAATTAAAAATATATTAAAAATGGTTTACTAATAATTATGAGTTTAATTTTCAGCTCCGATTTTGTCTCACGAAACATTGATATTTTCATTTGCCCATTTTCCAAATTAGTGCTTCTTTTTACTTTGTGTAATTATTATTATTATTATTATTATTATTATTATTATATAATATTTTTAAAATATAATTAAAATCTCAATTTATTTTTAAAACTATTATTAATATACTTTTAAAGTTTTAACACATTTTAATATATTTTTAATAAATATAAGAAAATCCTTTCTTTTTCCTACACAAAAATCAACATAATAACTAACTAGAAGGAAGATTATAGAGTTCATTTCACTCAGATCTATGTCCTAGTTTGGCATATGACGACACACTTGCAAGTGGGGTTTGTCTTTATTTACCATTAATTGTGTCACTAATGAACTTGCCAAGTGTGATCCAGATGGAGGCTAATTATACAGCATGGACTCTAGCAGTGAGATTTGACTAGTTGATACTTTATACAATTCAACATTTTTCCATAAAAGATTTTATGTTTAACGTATGCCATTAAACTAACTTTTATAGATAAGATGAAATTATTATAATTTTTTTTACTGAGATATTTGGCATATGATCAAATAGAAGGACTTTTCCTAGGCTTGGTATTCTTTATTATGAAATTTATTATATATAAATCCTTGTATGAACTTTTTTATATATGTTATTAGAAAGTTGCATGCGAAATAACTAAACAAATAAACATCTTGAAACAAAACACATCAAAAGTATATGAGCAACACATATTGATTTTATGCATACAAGTTATGTAAATTAAATTAATATATGAATATTATTCTTTCATAATAAACAACTATACAAATAATATTTTACATGTAAAGTGACGATGCATCAATTGTTGATTAATAAATTTAATATTCATAACTTACTAACAAAGTCTACACAAGTTTCTCACCTCTCCCATGCTAAAATTATAATTAATAAAGCTTATCCATGCATTACAGCTGTTGACCTCTTAAGTTTTTTAACTTATGCAGTTGTATGTATGTATATGCACTAATTAAACTAACGATAAATACATGAGTATGCGTGTCAATCTATATAATATGAGCTGAAGCACTGAATAACTAATCAAATCATTTTATCAGTTATGTGATGCTGAATAATTGCATACAACCTGCAGGTTGGAGATTTAAGTTAATTAATTGATTGAAACACTGGGCATTGATCTATACATATATAGAAATATAGGTATTATGGTTAGAGTAGCACGACATATAAACCATATGATAGATGATAATAAAAGACAGATAAAGAGAAAGCTAAGCATTAGTGGAGGCAAAAGTAGTATTTGGTGCCCCCACTGGTAATAATGGGGGAAACTTCTGAGTTCCAAGTCTAGTCAAGTCTTTCTAAATTTGTGAATCTCTAAGAAATGTCTAATTTGAGACTTTGATGTTTGGAATTTCTTAACCCGTGAAGACATAGACGGTATATAAATTCTGACCAGAATATTTTTAAAGGAGAATTAGTTTAGGAAAATATTAGAATTACTTTTTCTTGACATGTTAAGTAATTTTTTTATATTGCGTATTTTTTATAATTTAATATAATAGAATATTTATTATTAATATTATAATATTTATTTTTTTAATCTGTGAAAATTAATAAATTTAAAACTAGTCCTATAATGTATTTTTAGTTATTTATTTAAAAATATAATTCAATAATACTAATTCAATGCATAAAAAAATATTAATTTCTCATTACGTGGCAGGTTTTTGTTTCTAACAAATACTAAAATAAATTTAATTAATAAATACATATATTAACTGTCTTAAATTATATATTATAATTAAAATAAAAATTAATAATTATATTTTTATTCATATACTTTCATTGATGAACTTTATATTTAAAATTATTTGTTTTATGTTAAAACTAAACATAAAAAGTTAAAACAAAATTAAAGCACGAACAAAGCAATATTCTTAGTCATCCTCATGGGGTACCTAAGTCAAGTTCTTGTTGGCTCATTTAGTGGATATAATAAAATAACATAATGGGATAATTTATCGTATTGTGCTCACTAATCAGACTATAAATTTTAAAAAAATAAGCATAACGATATTAGACTACAATTTAGAAAAATATGATATAAATTTATTGTATAAAATTCTTATATCTATTTCTCTGGGCACGTAACTTTTTCATTTAAAAAAAACATATCGATCAACATTTGTTTTATTGATTAATAGAGTTGGAATTTGTCTTATGTCCTGAATTGGTTGGATGGCATTTTGCTTAATAGAAGCAGTGCTTCATAATACTTTATGTCGTGTCACTATTCTGTTCATAAAGCTAAACTCTTCATATGCATGTGTGTGAATAAACCTCTAATTGAAAAAATGGGCCTATTTTACGACTAGAGTAGGCCCACCTCTATTCAGATCATGAACAAGACTTACCAATCGGCCCATGGTCTTTTTAAAATACTTTTTCTAAAATCAATTCCTTGTCTTTGCTGCAACTTAAAAGGAAGAAAAAAAAATACATAAAAATTTATCTTCTACCGTGGTTTCTTTGGTAGTACCTAGTTAGCCTTCTGTTTCAGTTAGTAAACTTTATTTTGGGCGATTAGACTGCAAAATATTAAATTCTTAATTATGTCCAAAGCAAAGTTTCACACCCTCGCGCAAATTATGCCATGCCCTTCTATTACTTAGACTTTCTATTTGAAAATGGAGCAAGACCCAAAAAATTAGGATCCCGTATCAGTCATGTTTTACAGAAACAAGAAATTCATATAATCCCTTTATGTGAGGGAAAATTGAACATACAAGGCTGTCATAAATGCTAATGTAACATGGCACAATATTAGCAAAACAATTATTGTTGAAATTTGCCAATGAATAGTTGCATCTTTCATAATTCCAGTATCAAATAGCATAAAATTGTCTTTCAAACAAAGAAATGTGTCTCGAAAAATTTACTTATTGAACAATGCTAATGTACAACGTTAATACAGACATGGGACGGTAAAAGTGATCTCCTCTTTATTCAACCAACGCGTTCTTCTGGTTTCCTTCTCAAAGATGATAGAACCCAATATAATAATCCTGCAGAAAAGAAACTAAAAAACCAAGCATTATTGTAGATGACAACAAAATGTTCAGGAATTGATGTTACAATTCCAATTTTCTGCAAGAAGGCAGGGATTACTGGTAAGATTCCAATAACTAGAGCCACAATTGCTGTCACATTAAACCCTCTTGAATAATAGTAAGCGCCATAAGGACTCCGTGAGTATAAATCTATGATGTTCAAGTTTGTCTTTTGTACAAGATAGTAATCAGCTAGAAGAATCCCTCCAATAGGACCCAACAATGCAGAATATCCAACTAGCCAAGTATAAACAAAGCTCTCACTTGACTTGAGAAGCCTCCAAGGTTGGAATGCAATTCCAAGCAATGCAGTTACAAGAGCACCCCTTCTAAAAGTCAACCAAGTAGGGTTGAGATTCACAAGAGCATTTGCTGGTGCTACAACATTAGCAGCAATATTGGTCGTGATAGTAGCTAGGCTTATACCAAGGATTGCAAGGATAGTAGTCGCAAAGCCACCAATTTGACCAAGTAATTGAATTGGGTTGGAAATAACTTGACCAAATATCACTTTTGTAGATGAGGTCACTGCTATACCAACAAATGTGAATGCCCCCATAAAGATGGGAAGACCAGCTTGACCAATGATTTGATCATTCTGGCTCTTAGCATATCTTGTAAAATCAGGGATGTTAAGAGCCAGGGTAGCCCAAAAACTTATATTAGCAGTTAGAGAAGGGAAAAATAGAGACCAAAATTCTGAAGAAGAGAGCCTTGAGGTTAAGGAGAGCATGTGACCAAAGCCACCAGCTTTAACATAAGACCAAACAAGGAGGCAAGAAGTGAGGACAATGAGTATTGGAGCTGAGTACTTCTCAAGCTCTCTAATGCCATCAATTCCTTTCCACACAATGGACAATTGTGCCACCCAAAAGGCTATGAAGCAAAAAAATTCTAGTGGGGAAGTGCCAAGCCAAGGTAGAGAATGAGACAATGCACTTTGTTTTATTGATTTTGGCAAAAGAAGGAAAATTGCTTCCCCACCAATCCATGATTCAATCCCATACCAACCACAACCAACCAAAGCCCTAAGGAGGGTGGGAATATGAGCACCATGGATGCCAAATGATGATCTAGCAAGAACTGGGAATGAAATACCATAAAGGGTACCTGGATGACCAGTGAGGACAAGTGGAATTAGAAGAATCATGTTGGCTGCAACCACTGTGGCTATGCCTTGCCACCAAGCCATTCCAAGATCAACAAGGCTACCAGCAAGGTAGTAAGAAGGGACTCCCACAACTAGTCCCACCCAGAGGCTAGCCATTTCCAACCCAGAGAAGGTTCTTTGATTTGGTGCAGTTGGCTTGAGATCATCATTGGTGAGAGTTGGATCAGGCTCTACTTCAAAACTATGTGGAGGGACAGTAGAGTTGGAGCATTTTATAGGGGCATGATTAGCCAAGGAATGGTTTTGGGCATGAAGAAAGGACTTAGTTTTGTTGACATTTGAGTTTGGCAATGAAAGAAGGGTGGTAGAGTTAAAGGGCCTTGGATTTTTTGTAGTTGCAACTGGAACTCGGGTGAGAAAAGGATTGGGATTAGAAGAGAGATGGAGGGTTAGACATTTGGATACCATGTTGATTGTAGTTCTTAGATATTCAGAATGTTGTTGTAGAAACTAATGTTTGATGGAGCATGGAGGACCCTCACATTGAATTGGTTTCTATAATGAAAAAAAAAGAAAAAAGTTTTCCTGAAGTATGAGTTTCTATTCTGACCTTTGGTTATCTCCTATAATGAGCAACAATGACACGATGTTCTTTATTTTATTCATTGTTTAAAAGAATAATACTGCTGGCATTGCGAGACCATACGCCCCAAGTTGCTAGAGAAGTTCTGGCGGCAGCAACTTAGGAAATTAACTATCTAATTATATATAGGAACCATCGCGGAAGTAGAGAATCTGCTGGGAAATCTTAAGATTCAAATTTTTGTGCTATACCAACTAAGAAAATTTTGATACTCTAAACAATATTATAAGGGTTACTTCTTAAAATAAATGTTACATTACATACATATAATATGGGTTTTAATTTTTTTTTTCACACACAATTACTCTGTTTATTTTACATCACCTCTCCTGTTCTATCTCATTAAATTGGACTTCATTAACTCATTCAAAATTTAGAAATATCAAGACTCAAAACCTAGTTGACTTACTGTGAAGTGATAATGATTTGACAATTTTTTTTTTTTTTTTCACCATCACCATAATATGACTTGGTCTTCAAATAAAGTTTTTAAATATTTTGAATATTTTAGAAATCCCTGTTACATTTTTCATAATCCCAAGTTATTCTTTCAATAAATAATATACTTTGAAATGCTCATATTTCATCTATTATGTGTTGATCTACTCAGGTCTTTTTAGTTCAAAGGCTCACTCGTCTATTTTAAGTAGGTGTATACGGTGGTAATGTTGATCTAACAATAAAGTGGAGAGTATTTCTTAAAAGTATTTCAATGACGAAGTGAATACGTAATTCAATAGAGTAACAGCATTAGAAAGTTCACCTAGTGATATTAGAAGCATTCTATTTATAGTGCTTGAATGTGTCTTAAGTTAAAGTCACAATCGTAACATTCAAGTACTACAATCATAAGGTAATCTTGGCAAAGAGTGCGTCTTTCTAACCACTAAATATTTTACAATTCTCCATATAGGAGGTGTTAATAGGTGAGAAGATATCTCTGCTTTTAGGTGTAGAAAGCACCATAGGGTACATAAACTGACCTGCAAAAGCCCACAAATTTCTGTGCCTGAGCTTAAAATCATTTGACCTGTTTAATTGCCAGTCCATACAAATTGGCATACATAATCAGTAAGTAAATGGGTTGACAAAAAAAGAGCTAATCTTGGAAGTTCGCAAATTAATTCGTAAAAAATGAAAAGAATAATTTTTAATGTTTTATTATTTCAAAGTAAGAAAAACAATATAAGCAAAAGAAATTAACAAAGTAAAAATCAATAAATAACACATGCATATTGGACTGTAAACTAACCTGTTTAATTGCAAGCTTATATAAATTTGTTAAATATAGACCCATTTAAACATAGGTCTATAAAATTAGCATGTTTAACTACAGTCATAAGTGAACCTTACAGTATAGCTCAAGTAATGAGAACTAGTAAATTATATGTAAGATGATCTTCGAATCCTAACTCTTGAAAATTTCCATCCCCTTTCCCTCACCCCAATCTCCCTCTCCCAGTGACGAAAAATAACAACTACAATCATAAGTAAAGCAATATAAGTCCTAGGTTGAATGCATACAACATGTAGGCAAAGAGCGAGAAATGAATCAATTAATAGCGAGAAATGAATCAATATAAGTCCTAAGGAAGGCTAATATTCAAACCAGACCTTAAACTAATTGCATGCAAGAATAGGTTAAAACAAAGTTTTCTGAGCCTTAATTGATGTCATAGTTTAAGTAAATCTTGTTTATTTCCTTTAAATTTTGCTTTTGAAAGTTAAAGGAAATAGGATTTTACTTACCCAAAATCTAATGCCATGAAGAGCATGAAGATTTGACAAAGGTTGCCAATGGCGTGCAAACGATGTACAACGAGAATACAGGAAACCAAAGACTTGGATCTTGCTATGGAGGAAAATAGAGTAAAAAAAAGGGGAGAAGAGCATAAACCACAAACTAGCTATGAAGGCATAGAATGAAAAGCCAAAGCGAATTCTAACATCATAGAACGCATAAGGGTTGCAAATGACGCATAATGGCGACAAAACTCAATCTTGAAAGTGCAATAACTAGATCTCATCACAATGCCAAAACAATGAGATGAGGTGTGTAGAGGAAGAGATATAAAAAGTCATGCTATCGAATAAAAACGACATAAAACACGGGAGAATAAAAATGCATATATAAAATTGGAATGTGTGGTACAAGGAGAACAATGGGCATAGAAACAATTATAATTAAAACCTAATTTTAGCCAATAATTTTGATCTGACAGTTATTATTATACGTTTTCATTCGACATATTTCTTACAATCATACTAATCATGAGATTGAACTTTTATTTTATTTGTCAAGTAAGTAATGTAATTTTAATAAAAAAAAATAACTTTAATTTCTTAACAATTATTAGTGAGACAATGGTTAGCTACATAACATTTAACTTCAAAGTAAACAGTAATTTATGTACACCATTGAAAAAATTATATACCGAATTAATTCCTAACTTCTGAAGCTAAGTTTCGTAATAAATCGTATCATTAACACAATTACACATGTCAAATACATCACCAGCAATGTCCTATTACTAATCAGGTTCGAAAGTGTAGAATTGGAATGTGTACCAAGCATATTCCACTTAAATCAAGCAGTCAACTCAACAGAACCCATCTTTAGTGGAACAACCATTTCAAAGCTTAAGAAGCCAAAACCCCAAAACATGATGTGCAACATTTCTTTCTTATTTAACCAAAGCCTCAACCAATTCGACATGGAATAAATGGCAAAGCTCCATCGTCCAATGATCACTGATTGCTAAAAGGCTAAAAGCCAACAGAAGATGAAGCAATAACCATGGATGAGAAGGAAGCCAATCCTGCAATGGAATCATATGTCTTCCCTCTTGTTATCTCTGCTGCTGGCATACTTTGCTCTACTCTAGTAATAGCAGTATACAATTGCATCCTCTTAAGGTACTTTGTTATGCCTTCAAGACTGCAACGCAGGAACAACAGAAATAGAAGCCAAATGAAGAATAGTGGGGTCCATGAGGAAATTCTTAACAAAATCCCAGTTTTCTCTATCTCACCTCAAACAAGTGGTGTTTTTCATTTGGACCATGATGAATGTTCCATTTGCCTTGGACAATTGGAAGATGGGGATCAAGTGCGATTGTTACCAGCTTGTAACCATGCTTTCCATAGACCATGCATTGATGCATGGTTCAAGGACCATGCCAATTGCCCTATTTGTCGCTCACCTATCACTTGTGATTGTGAACTAGCAATGCCAATATCTCCACAAAATGTTAGCACCCAACAAAGGGTCTCACTTGTGTCTAGGAATATTCCAAGTGATCATCATCCATTCATTAATGATGATGTGAATGTGAGTGATTCCACCTTATCAGGATTTCAACACCCAAGCCTTGTGTTGCTTCACTCTCTCTCTCTCTCATCACACATGCAGAGAAAGCCTCAAACTTTATTCATGGGTTTGAAAAGATCCTTGTCTATGGATGAATTATCTTCATATATTCTCACTACTATACAAAGAGATGAGGGAGAGGCTTCAACCTCTTCTTCTACCAAAGAGTTCATGATGAGTCAGTATAACTATAGATCAAGATCACTTAGACACGTTGATCTCATGTCTTCAATGTCGATGACGTCCTTCTCGCAATTTCAGAATAGTGGAAGTGGGAGATACAGTGGATTTCTCCCAAATTGAGATCAAGTGGGTGCTTCAATCATGTTGCGTTCAACGGTTTTACTCACAATGAATCATGACCAACCGAATATGTCAATGGTTCTTCTCTACAAACTAATAAGTTAAAAAACATATTGCTCATAAAAAATAATGCAAATTAAAATATATCATCAAAGGCTAAATGAACCTTCTCTCTTTTCATCATTTACCTTTGCTAAGAATTCTAATCAAAGAACACCACAGTTATTGAGTATTTTTGGCACATTTTTTCGACGATGAGTTTTTCTGACACATTTACTTCGCGGGTTATTGCTTTCTTACTCATCATATCAACCCCTAATTCAGAGGTATAATGGCAAACACATGTAAGTTGTTATATTTATGTTTCTAATGACAAGCAGGTATAACGGTGTTGAAAAGTAAAGTAATTAAAAGTGATTTTTAACACTCTTGATGCGTTTGAAATGAGAGTATAGAAGAAAAAAATATTAATTTAGGTATGAGATTACCCTTTGTCTAATCTTTATTTAACATTCTCATATTTTGTAATAAAATTGTTAGGATTTCACACGAATTTCAGTGAAATTGTAAATATACAAAGGATAAAAATATTAAAAAAAATAAACAGAAGTTTCTTAAATCAAATCAAATGTGATAAATGTTGCCCAAAAGAATTTCAAACATGATAAAAGTGCAAAACGCAGCATCACATCAATTCACTCCAACTCATCTTTCTTTCTTAGAATATATATCATGCATAAATATTGTCTGAAATTATTGTTGAACCTTTTGCGTATATTGATATTAAAATAGGGCAATCTCTACTTCAAACTTTTCTTTTTCTTTAACCAGTATCAAAGAAAATTTCATATGATGCAATTTTTTTTCTTTTGTAAAATGAGCTACTGAGAGAAATTAATTGTGTTTTGTCAAATATTGATTTTCAAAATTTACCTCATATTTCTTTAAGTATGATTGATTATTATTCAAGAACCTTTTTCTTGAATAATATTACTGTTGTATTATATTAACATGAAAGTACAAAATGATAATACGTCAAATTAGTCGTTGAAATTATACATATTAAAAATTATGTCTTTAAAATTATTAAAAAAAATTAATCACTAAAATTACTAAACTATCATCAAGGTTTCATCAGGTCATGATATTAGAGGTTGTCCGTCTACAACTTTAATAATTATTAGACAATTTAATCCCTGATTTTGATGTAGATTAATTAATTTGATTCTAATGTTAGGGACTAAATTAACTTACAGTTGCTAAATTTAAGAATTATTTTGACTTATATGGTAATAGTAGGAACTAACTTGATTGGTGTGCAATTTTAGGCAGTAAATTAATCAATAGTTAATAATTTAATTTAGGGAATTAAATTTTGTATGACTTTAGAGGATAAATTGATTAGTAGTTATAATTTTAAATAATAATTTAGTACATTATTCTAAAAAATTATTGTTTAGTTACCTATTCAATAGATCTTAATCAGGAGACACACGGTTAGAATTGAAAACATTAATTCATAAATATGTGCTTCTCGTGTTAAATAATTAAACTAGTAATATATTCTCTAAATTATTTAAATTTTTTTAACTAAATCTATTTAACCAAAATGTTAATATACAAAAATGTGGTTAACGATTCAATTAAAAATAATTTAAAAGTTTAGAACTTAATTATAAACTTTCAAAATATATTTTTTTAATTTTTAAAATAAATCAAGAAGTTACATATTAATTAATTTTATTAGTAATCATATGTTAACTCCTTTTCTTTGTTCCAAAGAGAATTTTATATTCCCACTATCTTGAATGCAAGAACATGTTGCACGTAAAGGAAATAAACGCAATCACTAGTTTAATTTTTTTTATCATTGAAAAGTCTCCTTTTAAAAAACTAATTTTAATTTGTTTGGCCTAACCTTTCCTTTTAAAGAGAAGAAAAATAAAACAAGTCAAACGCTACTAAAGTAAAAGCGCAACTATCATTCTCATTTATTATGATATCAATGTTCCTCGATTTCCCTAGCTAGGTGAAATAATCAATGAAAGAATCAAAGAAAGTTGCAAGCAGATATAAAGGGTTTTGGACAAGATACTACATTATTTGTTTTTATCTTCACATTTAAAAAACATATTTGTAATTAGACCAATATTCGAATGGGCAGCAACTTCAATGCACACACTCTTATTCATTAATTATCTTTATACTTATTCTTGAATGCAATACCTGAATTTTAATTAACTCAAATAACAAATAGAGAGTTAATCTCTAAGTTTAAATTATTACAAATAAACTTTTTATCTTAATAAAAATTATTTAAAAATTCCAAATTCAAGTTATAAATACAATGAATATATTATATAAGCATGAATAAGACTAACTAGCATAATATTTATATACTTACAAAATTAATTTTATGAATAATTATTCATTTGATAAGAATGCTATTTATTATAAATAATTTTGAAAAATAGCTATTTAACTGGAATTTAATTATGGATTTGAGGAGCATAGAGGGGCAGAAAGAGAGAAAAGGTGGGCAATTCATTGAGCTCTCCAAATCTGGCAATGATAAATGGAAAGTTGATTTGTCCCCATTACTTTACATGCACACATATTAATAAAATAAAAATAAAAATGATATAAAAAGGTGTGGTTATCTTTATATAAACGGCCCATGTGGATGGTGGGCCATTGGAAACTATAAAACGGACTCCCCAAAGACTTGCCTTTTTATTCCTTAATTACACAACAATTAAATATTAAACAAATCTGCATTATTGATTCTTCACAAGGAGGAATTTGTTTTTTTGGGACCTAGACCCGAAAAGAGGGAACTTTCCTATATACCCTTTCTTTTCCCACATCACGGACCTTCCCCTCCAAACCCTCCTATCTTTTTCTATCTTTTATTCAAAAATTGTATCACCACGAGGTTTTCCCCCAAAGAGGGTTGTATATTACAAGGGGAAAATAAATAAATATATATATGCTGCTGAGGTTGAATATTATATTGAATATGTACCAATTTTGAGGGTTGAAGGATTAACCATTATAATTATGACCCAAAAGGAGCCCTATGAGGAATTCCTTTTCTTCTCCTTGCATTTGAAGCAGGTGGAGGAGGCGTAGCCAGATACATGTCTTGTGTTGATCCTTCACGCAATCTTTCTTCTTGCTGTCTAGACGAAACCACTCTCCTTGACATACCCTTCCTTGTAGTATCCATTGTCAATTCTTCATTCCTACCATCCAAAGCAAAGCTTGCATCCCCATTTTTCTTTATTCCCTCAAGCTAATTAAACCATTCAATTCAACAATTAAAGTATTAATCAAATGATCGCATTATGCATGCCGTACCATGTTCCCGGCAACACTGTTTGATAATTACCATCTTAAATATAAAACTCGCGCTTTTAACTATGATTATGAGCCTTATAAATTAATTAAAATGTCAATGCTATACCATTATACAAACATGATGAATATTCAAAAGTAGAGGGAATATAATTATGATGGTGAATGATGGTGATGGGCTTTCAAATGTAGGTGATGATGTATGGGTGGTGGGTGTTATACCCATATGATGAGGATGATTGAGTTGTGAATGATGTGCATGTTGATAATGATATCAACAATATTGTAAGGGCAGATGAGAGATAATAATAATATCTGACCTTACATCCCAAAGAACAGAAGCGAAATGGGTCCAAGAGGCTTCTTCCGCAAATCTCACAAATGTGAGCTACTCCTTTTCCAGATTTTGGCTGAGGCCTCACATTCAGGAACAAAACTCGAGCACTGTTGATCACATATGTCTGAACTCCACTTATGTCCAAAGCCTTCTGAATTTCTGCGACCCTCACTACATCGTGATACGAAGATCGTCTTATCTAATCAATAATATCATCGACAACAAGTTCGCAAATTAATAAACAGAGAAAAAATTACCATTACATTTACACTATAGAATTTGAATTACTATATTATTCAATCAAGAATTATAAAATCAGCCCCATTGTCCAAATTAATGCATTATTATTAATTAAATACCCAGAAAAAGATACATGAGAAATGGGAAATTAAATGCCGATACAGTGTCTATAAGTAACAGTGCCCCACCCACCTGAATGACTTGATGATCCTTGTGTTTTGAAGAACGGCAATAAAAGCAAAAGGCATCGCCATTGCAGTCTAGGCAATACATGTTACACTCGCTTCTAGCGGCATCCGTGTGAATTCGACACACACTGAAGAAGTGTGTGTGTAGTAGCTGTTCAAGCCAAGGAGGCACCAACACTGTCTCCTGCTCATCAAATCCCATTGTTCCAAACATTCACATTAAATCATCAATTCAAAGACATAAACATATATTAAAATAAATACACATACCATTGTCGGTAGTGGATAAGAATAATATTAATAATTGAGGATAATGTGGCTCAATGGGTGAGTGAAGAATGCAGATTCAGAGAATGAGAATGGAGAGAGAGAAAGTGAATAAACGGCCTTCAACTACACAACACAAGAACGCTAAAGAGAATCGGGACAAAGGGTGATTAAAGAAATAGGGGATTGGATGGATGAGATCAAAAGTGGTGGCTGAGGTAAGAGCACAGCCGTTGGATGTTTGGCGCTTTCCCTGCTTTGGATCTCTTTTTGCGTCTCTACGTTGTCACGATACAACTCCAAGGTCGGCTCGGCTGCGCATACACTCAATTCCATTATTTACCTACCCTAGCTTTATATCCTTTATTATTATTATTATTACAATATCATGTGCTACCAATAATATTATACTCTATTTTTTTATAGCGTGTCATTAAATTTTACGTATAATCACTTTATATCATTAAATTTAATACTGTTACAACTTTTAAGCAAATTATTTTTTTAGTTTTTTATTGAAATTAATTGACACTGTAAAAATCAATTAAAACTAAATTATTAATATAAATACTATAAATTTATATTAATAATATTATGCATTATATCAATAAATAATTTTATTAGTGTAAAATTTAATATATTATATTCTTACCATAAATTTATGATATTTACGTGAAATTTTATTTTAATAATTAAAAAATATATCAATAAAAATAATTTTAATGTATAATATTTTTTTCGTTTATAAATAACACTTTTTTGTAATAATAGTCGTACTTTTCTACGAGGCACCAGACCAACCGTTGATCACAACTTGGTGGTTCCTACTGTTATGGTGTCCTAAAAAATCGTAATCACAATTGCTCTTTTAGAAAATGCCTTGGATAATGTTATATTATACTCATTTTAATTTTTATTTAATTTAATAAAGAAAGTATGTGTGTGTGTATATATATATTTCTCACATGTTATAATTTTAATGGGATAACATGCTTCTCTTTGAGTAAATTAAAAAATCTCACAAACTCTTAGAAAAATTTTTCAATTATATTATTTTAGAAATTTTTTTACAGTTTGTGTAAAAGCTCACAATAATTTTTAAAAAAGTATAAACAAAAGGTGATGTTTTATAATGAAATGTAAAATAAATGGGACAATAAAATAATATAAAAATATATCGAAGTTTAACCACTTAAATGGGAATCATTGGGGTCTTGAATGTGGCAAACAAAACTAATATTGTATTAAAAAAAAACAGAGATTTAAGTAATACACAAAATTAAGCTTCAAAATTATAAAATTATTATTTTAATTTTAGGTTTATTGAATGTTAACCATTTTAATATTTATTTTTTGTAATTTATCATGGGAATTTAAAAAGACTAATATTTTGTACAAGAAATGAAAATTATTGGATAGTTTCAGGAAATAAAATAATTTCCCTTCAATCCTACGTATGAAAATGAATTTTTAAGGGTAAAGTTGATATTCATATTTTTAAAGACTAATTTGATATATAAATCTAAATTAATATTCATAATCAGGGTTATTTTCACTGTAACTCTTTTTTTTTATGTACGAGAGAAAAATTAAAAAGAGAACAAATATGATGAAAATGAATAAAAAATGATTTTCTTACATCTATTTCAATCAAAAATTAAAAATAAGAAGAAATAGAAAATGAATTATAAAATGGCTTATATATTCATATTTTATTTACGATTATGTGTTGCTTTTATATATATATATATATATATTCTCCACACGTTATAATGAATCATACAAGTTAATAGAATTTCAATCAGTATCAGTCTTAAAAAAAAAAGTAACAATGAAGTTATAATCTCGCATAAAGTGATGAACTACTACTTAATTGAATCTTGGATAGAGAAAAAGTCTTATTACTTAATTGAGCCAAAAGCAATGTTTAAAGAAGATATGCGCGAAAATTTATAAGATTTAAAAACTAAGTTATTCAAATTATTAATATTTAAATTATAATAATCATTATCAATTTTTAATTCCATAATTTATAGTTTGTTATCGATAATCTATCGCGTTTTAAATAAATTTGAAGTAGTTCATATATTTATCATATGTTTGATACATTTATTTCTTTTAACTCTGATTGTTTATATTCAATTTTCGTAAACTTTTAATTAATAAAATCAAATATCTTACCTCATATTACACCTAATAATTAGCAGAAAGTATCGTGAGTATGATGTGACAATAAATTGTATAATTTCGTAAAAAAAATACATTAATATATAAAATAAAGTATAAAATGCATCAAACCTTTTTTCATGCTTTGTTTGTTTTTTTATTTTAATATTTTTTTTTATTTTTTAATCAGTAGAACCCAACATTATTCGCTTTTTAATTATATTTTCATTAAATTATAAGATAAAATATAAATAAAAAATTCAATTTAACATTTAAAAAATAAATATAAAAAAATTACATATAATTAAAATGTACGACTATCAGTACCATTAAACTTGAAATTTAAATAAAACACATTAAAACTGCTTATCTTATTATACGTCTTCTTCTTTTTTTTCTCAATTACCTTCTCTGACAACTATTCTATATATATATATATATATAATACTAACAACATACTATTTAATATATATTTTTAATTATTAATTAAAATTGATTAAAAATAAAAAAAAACATTAAACTAAGAATGAAAATTATATAATTTTTAATAAATTTTAACAAATAAACAAAATTATGATTAAAAAACATATTAATAGCTTTTTCTTTTTTCAATATCATTTTATTTTTTATCTTTTGTTTATCCTCCTCTTTTATATATATATATATATATATATAAATATATATTATTTTTAATTAAATAAAAGATTTAGAGTGTAAAAAATTTTGGACTTGTAAAAAGATTTTGTTTCATATATATATATATATATATTATTTTTTATTTCCATCACTTCACTCATCGCATCCTTTAATTTTTTATATTTTTTCCTTTTATTTTATTTAATTTGATTAAAATCCTTATCCCACAGTCGAAGACAAACATTTCCCTTTCCAAATAATCACAACCCCCACGGCCACTATACCCCACACCACTTCCCTCGTCCCATCCCATCCTCATCTGTTTCTGTAATATAGTTTATTAAAATAAAATATTATTTATTTATTTCACTGAACGCATGTCAACGTACACTACTTATATATTTGGATCCATGTCCAAATTTTGCATTATTGCAAAAGACATACTTAATGTATTTTTTGAAACAGATTAATTTTGAAAAAATAAATATGATTTTTTAAAAATTATTTAATTAAATATACACTTAAAATTAATATATCTCTTAAAGTGTATTATATTCTGCAAAATATTTATTATGTTGTTCTTTAATTCAACAACTAACAAATTAGTTTATTTGATATTTTGTTAAAAAATTCTTTTTACTTTTTAAATAATCATTTAAAAAATATTTATAGATTTTTAATTTTAGATACTTCTAGATAATTTATATGTTTTATAATTTATTTTTCTTTTTTTTTCTCTTTAAAAAATTATTTTCTCAATCTTTTTATTATCTGTAACTTAAAAAAAATATCAAATGCCCATTTTGGCACGTGTCATGATCGTGGCGCATTTGACAACTTTTATATAATAGGACAAAAAACAAAGGAAGCTGTATAGAAAAGATAAGAACGAATTTGGACGAACTATTTTTACACGATTTAATATTTATTTAATTACTCAGCATTTGAAAGAATAAAAAATTGTATTTAAATATTTTATTAAGTTTATATATTTAAAATTTTATTTATTTAAATTAAATTTTTAATCCATTTTAATAAGTTTTACAATTTCTTTTGGAGACAATAAGTTTTACAATTAAACTTGTATTACAAATCTTAATAAAATAACAATTTATTAAAGAATTGTAATGAAACTATTCAATTAAATACATCCTTATTAAATAATAGGATTTTTTTCTATATTTTCTTTACTATTAAATTAGGAACAATTATGTGCACGTGAATCAATTAATTATTTCTATTTAAAAAACTTAAGCCCGGAAGTTAAAACCTTGCTTTCAAGCACTGTACGGTTACTATTGTTAATCGCCATGGAGGATTCTTTATGCATAATGTGGACAAAATGTCGTGTCACATATCATTTAATCTAAGTTTTTTTTTTTCTAGTACAAATCTAAAGTTTAATTTGCCTCCAATCAACGCCAAGCAAATATTTATCAGATTAAAAACATTTTTTATTTTTCAAATTATATTATATTTAATTTTTCATTAAATTACTTTCTTATTCTTATATTCTTCAATATTGTTGATTTTCATTATTCTTAGTTGCGCTACTTTATAAATTAAGAACACATGAATATGAAATTAATACCCGACATTATCTAAATTAACTGTATTATAACTTGATATTGAGTAAAGATAAAAGTAATAAATTTTAAAATAATTTTTTTAAAAAAATACAATAAAGAAGCACTTCAAATCTTACATTCCAAAGCGAGTTTTTTTTTCCTTAATTATATTTTTAAAAATAACTTTACTATCGTTTTGGTTAATACTCTGTTTGCGATATAAGAGAAAAATAAAAGTAAATTTGACATTATAAGACCCGAGATTTAAAAAAAAAACTTTCTATTTTAAATAAAAATAAAAATATAAAATGACGCTCTGCAAATAATATTACCTTTTAGATTGGAGAGCGCTATTTTTTTTCCTGAATGCATATTTATTAAGTTAAATAATATAAAACCCCTTTGACTTTTCAGCTGTCTTGTCAAGTACATGTATTGTTTAAGTTAAATAAATTTATAAATAAGTCAAATAAATTATAAGTACAAAAAAAACTTGTCAAATACATTTTTTAAATTGTACATGTAAATGCACTGAATAATTAAATGATTTTTTTATTTTAGTTTTTCTATTTTGCTATAATCAAAATATTACTTTAAGGTTAAGGTTCATAAAATTGAAATACGAATCTCTTAACATAAAGTCTGAAGACCCTATTTAAATGCTTTAAAATGTCAATTTGTTTAAAAATATATATTTATTACATGAAAAGTATTTTATTTTTATTTTTAAATGTTTAAACCTAATTAAAAGAACTAACATTAACAAATTTTAAAAATATTTCAGCATTAGCACCGAATAAAATATTACAGTATTGATTATAACCTTGAGACTGATTTGTCATTTGTCATATTAGAAATGGCCATTATTTAATTTAACCAATAACTTCTAATGAATAAACAAAATGGTCAATTTTATGGATTTAATTTTAAGCATACACGTATGTGTTTACATAGTACACAATAAGGATAGCTTTTGCAATAATTAAAGATCAAGATCATGTGACTCGTGATCTAAACTAAACCAGTATCATCATTCAACATTCCCAAGAGCCTCTAGCATCGTTTCTTCGTCTATTCGGATTTCATACCTCGTTGAAAGAAAACAATACTTAGAAAGTCAAAAACATTTTTTTATATTTTTTTATCTAAGTAAAACTCGGTCATTTTTCATTGGCATTCGTATATGAGAGAGAGAAGTGAGAAAAATAATGAGATGGTATGCTATGATACGTCAGTGAAACAACAGGGTGATATGAAATAGCTATGAGACAAATTAAATGAGGTGGAAATTTTCCTTGACTCATTATATTTGAATAACACATATATATGCTATTTAAAATATAAATAATTTTTTAAAACAACACATTTATAAATATTTATTCAGAAACAATTATTGGATGTGCTATTTGATTAAGTTTAATTTCTAACATCATTTGATTCTAACAACAACAATAATATCTTAAAACTAGGACCAGTTTCCGTGGCCATGAAATTTTTTCATGAAAAAAAGATTTTTAAAAAAGAAACTAACTACATTTATTTCTCTCGAGTCTTGTGATACGTTTACTTACAATTACAACCTATTTTTATAAAATAATAATCATACTTATTTATATTATTTTATATATTACTTGAATATGTTAACACAGGTAAGAACTGACTTTAATAAGACAAGCGAAGCCATGATTTTTTATATGTTATTTAATTTTTTTTAATTTTTTATTATAGGAGTATGAATTGGTTTTAAATATATATAAATGTGTGTGTGTGTGTGTGTGGGTTTTAATGAATTAACCGTGAAATGGATTAAAAATAATGAACCGTAAGAAAAGGTGAAGAAAAAAAATGGAATTGGGCGTTATCATTGGATTAAAACTGGAACAAGGGGCCCAACAATAATAAGCCCAAATGGTTTTTAATAATAAAATTAAAAATCAGGCTATTTTCTGAGAAGGACGAAGATTGTTCCACTTTCCTTCTCGCCTTGTCTCTGAAATTTCGAGGGTTCATTGTGGCGTGCTTATTCGTTTGGTGAATCAGCAATTCGAACCAGTTAGCAATGTTCAGATTCTGGTAATTCTTCGTTTCGCTCCCAAACTTCAATTAAATTTTACATACATGTATCTGTTTCTATTTGATTTCTCGCGATTTAAGTGATTTTAAAAGCTGTCGCGCGTTTGATAACGCCAAACTCTAATCACAATAACGATAATAAGCTGAATTTCCGTTTCTAGCTAAAATTTAATGGCACATATGAATTTTGGATAGAATGTTGTTTATGCGCAGGGGATCACAAGAGCAACAATCGCAGGATGGTTCTTCACAGTCACAATCGTGGTATCCGCCATCGGTGTTGAGTTCACCGAGTTCTTCGAGGCCTGCTACACCAACTGCTTCTTCTTCTTCTTCTTCACAGAGGCCTTCTTCACATGTTCCACCTTCTGAAGCCGCTGGAGTTATTGCTGTCTTGAAGGACAAGAGGTTTGAATTTTCATAAGTTTTGTTGCATCTGATTTTGAAAAGGCAAAATACATGGAGGGGTGGATTAGTTATGCACTCAGTACTTTCGGATTGTACTGATAATGTTGTAAAATGTTCAATTTCAAATATGTTGATATTAATTAATTCTTTTGTTTTTTATAAATTTCCCAGTGTTGATGAATTACGGAAGCTTTCATCTGACAAAGATGCGTATCAGCAATTTTTACATTCACTTGATCAGGTCAAGATTCAAACTAATGTAAGTTTCGTATCTCTACTTTTCAATTTCTGGTGGTTTATTGCCTCGGAACTAGTGTGCACTTTCTTCCTGTGCTTGCTGCATTTTGTTAGTACATTTCACCTTAATCTCTTTGAAGTTGAACGGGTGTTCTGTTTTTTTTTTTTTTTTTTGGGTTGTAAGATATCAAATACTGATTTCACTGTAGAGATAAGGCCTTAGAGTAGATAATAGCTAGTAGGTGCCTGGCCTTGGCAGTGTTCTCATCCAACACAGAGAAATGCCTCTATTTAGATTAGTGATTTTACAATCTCAGCGGCTGATTGTTTTCTCATTAAACTAATCTTTATGCTGCTTATGCAATACTTCAGAATTTCTTTGATACTATATACTGGGTTGGTGTTCAGTTGCTTGTACTATTCCACCTTGATCTTTATGGTTTTTGGGAGTTCGAGTGTGTATTGCCTCGTATACCTTTGAGCATTATGGAAGTAGATGGGATATATATGCAGTTTGGTAATATATTCCCTCATGTTTTTTAAGAAGAAGGGTGTTAACAAAATGTAACTTTGGATTTGTTAAGATACTGCCAAAGTAGTAACTTGCTAAATTGTTCCTTCCAGAAAACAGGCAGGGTGGTGCTAATATATTTCCACTTGTTATATTGAAGGAATAATTTAGCAAGTTCTATTTTATTTGGATTTGATAAAATACTTTCAAAGGCATAACTTCTTAACATACTCCTTTTGGAAAGTAAGTGGTAGTTTGTCAGCAGCCCCTTGCGTGTGTGTTTGTAAATATGTAATCTAATAGTAGGTATTTACTTATGTTTTAAATAAGGATTAAATATATTCTTAGGCCTTGACACTGCATTTGAAATGATTTTATGAGCCTGTTAGATCTGGAATGTGGTGTCATTCTGGAATTTGTGACTGGGTTTTATTCTTTCTGCTCTTGCTACTGGGTGCATTCTGCCATTGCCCTTGTCCCTTTCCCTTTCTACTGTTTTTGGTTTCTTTGAGTTTGTTTATGCTCTTGTGACTGGGTGGTGCTACCATTATGCAGAGTTGTCAAGAATTAAGTTTATGCTGTGCATTTTTAATTGGCAGTAACTATGGGCTTTATTTAATATAGCAGAGGAACTGTGGGCTTTACATTCCAGTTTTTGCCATCAAATCTTATTTTACTGTTTCTTAAAAAACTCTTAAGAGATTGGGATCTAATTAAATATTATTTTGAAATTATTTGTTAAAGAAAAAAATAAACCTTATTCTACATGTGTAATATATGTATATATTATTTTTTGGATATAATAATATCGTTATAGCTAAGATCTTGCATTTTATGTTACTATCACATATCCTCCTCATCCAATACTGCTAGGATCTTAAGCTACAAAGCATTATAGATGGAACTTTTGAATGATATCAGAAGTTTTTTACAGACTTAACGAATTTTCTGTAGTGTTTATCGATAGAAAGCAACAAAGTTTGTTGTGTTCATAAGTACTGAATGCTGAGTGCACCTAGCTACAGCATGTACCGTTTTAAAATGTGATTATGAACCAAATATTTTAACTATTTGTTAAATTATCATTCTTCCTCTAGAGTCCACCCTTATATCTACAGTCAGAAAAAAATGACAGTCATGGATTTCTTCTGGTTTTAGAAGGGAGGAGGAGGAGAGTTGGCCTAATCATGCCAGCAACATTTTTGGGTTCTTGAGCTTCTAAAACTTGTAGTAGTACCTGTTATGGGGGCTGTCATTTAAGCCTTCATAGAAAGATTACACAGATTTATGCAAAACTGTCAGGGCCTTGTTATTTAATCTGCATAATTGCTAAAGGAAGTATCAATGGCTGTACTCTACATTGACAATCTGACATGCCAATACATGTGTACAACAACTAGAATCATCTTTAATCACACAACTCATGCAGTCACATCTAATGCACTGTACCCAGCTGCTCCAGTGGTTCCAACTGAGTGTATTGGAAAAAATTTAGTTGCTGTCCTAATACTCCATACAATTTTTCTTTGCATTTGTTTTGCTTTTGTTTCTGATGCTGGAATTTGTATCTGCATGTATTTTAACTTTTTTTTGTTTTGCTTATTGACTTGATCAGCTGAAAGATGAACTTTGCAAGGAGAATTTACAGCTTGCAGGTGAGTTATTGAATTTCTTTTATTTGATATGTTGCCATTAGATGGTTGGCCTACAGTTAAGTGTTGTAGAGCTTCTTAAACTATTGTCTTTAGTACAGAGGAAAATCTGCTGAAGGAACCACGTATCATGGAACTTAGGAATCAAGTAAGATTACAATCCTATGATTACTATGGGTTTTTGTTTAATTTTATTCAGAATTCTTTTGCTGATTATGGAGTTTTTCTTCTTCCTCGTACGGAAACAGTGTAGAATAATTCGGACAACTGAGTTAGCTGCTGCTAAGGAGAAACTAAATGAGCTTGAGAAGCAGAAAGAAGAAATGTTGAAGTTGAATTCCCCTGCATCCCTTCTCCAAAGGATTCAAGGTGACTTGAAATTGTAGTTTGCTGCAGTAATCCTGGTGATCACAATTTTATCACTATCGAGACCAGGGCTTGGTCATAAAACATGATAAACTCAAACAAAATGATATTTTTTCAGAGTCTGCGAACAAGACAGAAGAGGAATCTGAAAATCTGCACCAGCTTCTCCTTGACAGAGAGGCCGACCTTGGGGCTTTCTTGCAAAAGTACAAGAAGCTACGTACCACTTACCACAGGAAGACTCTCATACATCTTGCTGCTAAAACATCTACTATATGAGTACGACATGTGGAATATGAAAATTAAAAAAAAGCAACTCCTCGATTTGGCGAGTATGCATTGATTTTTGGTTCATTATTGTCAATAGTTGTTGGTCAAAGATACTTGCCACCGATTATATAAAAGCTGCTGCTGTTGGGATAGAGCCGTCTATTATAAATGAGAATGTTCATATATGTACAGCTTGAGATTGTTCATTGTGGTGACATTGTCAAGTACTTTCCTGCCATTTGATAAGAGGTATGGACATATCTGCAGGTCTGCTACCTTATTTCTCCCAATTTGTGCTTTACTACCGTCAACAATATTTATCTGAAACTCTGAAGTAGATGCTGTATCTTATGGGATCATAATCGCTGATATCGGATTTATTTGTGTTGTAAAATGTACACAAATGCTTTTGACTTTCCTTTTCCTGGGAGCAACTATAAGTTTTTCAGAACCCATGACTTTTTGCCGGATTTTGCATGTGTTATCATGTAATAGTAGATGCACAAGTCGAACAACTTTTTTTGGAAAGCGAATATAGCGTTAAACAGGTTCGACGTGATTGATAAATTTATCTATTGTAGACATGATAAGAAATGTTCATCGTGTATTTATTTGAAAATCAAATTTTAGGTTTAAATACACTCTGCAAAAGTTAATAAATGGCAAACGAGAATAATCATTTATATTGAAAGCAAAGAGAGCATCCCCATTTATTAGTAATGGCCTCCTTGTCCTTGGGAATCTTTAGGTTCAGAATCAGAGACGTCTGTGTCGGGCTTAGCGCACATAGGAGTGGTATAGTAGAAAGGGTTGAGCGCGTATTTGATCAAACCACGATAGACTGAAGTTGCGTAGTTGAGCTGGACGCCAGACTTTCCACCACCAAAGTCAGTGAGGATGTTGCAAACATAATCTGGAGACGACACCAACCTCACTGAGCATAGTTTTGTATCCAATTCCTTGCCGTAGACATACTTATTTACAGTCATATCGTACTGCCCGAGCTCATCTGTTGTATCACTTGAATAATGCACAACCCTACTTCTCTTGTCCATGCACGTTAGAGACACCTTAACTCCTGATAGTGCAAGCATAATTATTAACTGACTGAGGAATATATGAATATGAATATGCGAGGTAGGAAAAAGGGATTAGAACATACCTTTGATTGGCTTGCCATCATTAACCCATTCGTTCCAGCCCTGGGTGCAGTCCTGGCACAGCACTTTTCCACCTACATGAATCACTCCCGATTCATCCAAAGCCGAGACTGCCATACTATTGGTGCAACCCACCAGCATTGAGGTTGCGATAATCATCAGTGCAACTGCCAATCCCATCTCTCTCTCTCTCTCTCTCTCTCTCTCTCTCAAAATTCGCAAGGATATATGGGTAGATTGACTTCAAAGAAGCAGATATATAAATATAACAAGCAGTGTGCTTTAACTGGGAACAAACGTGGAAGAGCACTTCTATCGGCTCTTGACGTGCAATCCATTTTCAATTTTTTATAATATAATTAGCTAATCATATCATCTACGTATCGTATTAATAGAGTTTGCAACTCGCTGACCAGCAGAATAAAAAGGTTAATTTAAGGAGATTATTCGTATAAAGCATCAGATTAGTTTTATATTGATTTTAAATATCCATTAAATTGATTTTTGAATTTGACAATTATAGTCATTTTCATCCTTAACCGTAGTACGTATTAGTTAGTTTAGTTCTTAATTTGTTGTGCTTCAGCCAATTTTGTCGTTAAACACAATGACTAAATTAATTGGTGTCTAATTAACTTAGGAACTAAATTGATCAATTTTCTAATGTTGGAATTAAATTGATTAATAGCACAAATTTAAAGGATTAAATTGATTGATAATCATAAAAGTTAAGGGATAAATTTTTTATAATATCAAGAACTAAGTTTACTAGTAGCTATAATTTAAGGGACTAACTTGGTGTAATAATCAAATTATTTTTTGTAATTTACACTGTTGGGAATTGGAGTAAGATTTTTTTTTAGTCAAAAGACCATTGACTAAAAAATGTTCAACGGACACTTAAAAAAAAAAAGATGTTAAGGCTAAGAATATAAATTTACATTATAAAAGTTTATTTTTATACAAGCTTTTTAGGAGTTGAACGACGGAACTGTATAATCATAACCGTTATGTCTGTAGAAGTTGAAAGACAATGCATAATTGAAGATACGTGGATCATTTTGCATGGGTAGAAGGAATTTACAAATGCGTGATGTACCTTGTACCCAAAATAAGGAATCAATTGTTTGCATGGTGAAACAGCTTTACGCCAAGCCAAGTTTAAACAAAGGACTCCAACACAAGTAACTCGGTAACCTCACCTTCTCTCTCTATATCTGATCTCTTTGTATATATACTAATGCTAACATATATCCTCAGCGCGCGTAAATCTCGAAGAACCTGAATCCTTCAAACTCAAACCAATGAAGCTCCTCCAAAAAGATTTTGCTGCGAACCAAAGCGGCACCGCCAAGATCATGCCCGAAGAACCCGACGACGTGTGGCTCCTCTACAACCTCATTCTCCCCGGCGACGTCGTTTCCGCCGACACCACTCGCAAGGTCCGTCTCGAATCCACCAAAACCGCTGCCTCACGTGTCAAAATCACCCTCCACCTCAAAGTCACGTGCCGCGACTTCCTCAACGACTCCTCCACCCTCCGCCTCCGCGGCAAAAACCTCCAACCCAACCCTTATGTCGCCGCCGGTTCCTTCCACACCCTCACACTCGAACCCAACAAAACCTTCGACCTACGCAAGAAGCTCTGGAACTCCGACGCCGTTGAAGCCCTAAACGAAAGCGCCCAAAATTCCAAATCCTCCTCCTCCCTCGCCGTCGTTCTCTTCCACCAAAGCCACGCCGAGATTTACCTAGTCGGAAACGGCGCCACCACTCGCTTTTCGAACGTCGAAGCCTCTTCCAATTCTTCTAGGAACAAGGCTGTTTCGTCGACCGTGTTTTTTCGTGACGTTTTCGCTGCTCTCGTGAGGCACGTGGATTTCACGGTGGTTAAGAGAGTGGTGATAGCGAGCGAGGCGTCGACGAAGGACGAGTTTCGTAGGTTTGTTTTGTCGGAAGCGAAGAGATTAAGGATGACGTGGATGGAGGAGAACAAGTCCCGCATTGTGGTTGCATCGTCGGGGAAAAACGGTGATTTGGGGGAAGTTTTGGGTGACCGAGCGGTGACGGATTTGATAAAGGACAGTAAGGTTGGGATTGAGGTGAGGGCTTTTAGGGAGTTGTGGGATATGGTGTGTAACAATTCGGATCGCGCGTGCTATGGACCGCATAATGTGGAGAGTGCGCATGAGATGAGGGCTATTGAGACCCTTTTGATCACTGATGAGCTTTATAGAAATGCTGACATTGGGATTAGGCAAAGGTATGGTGGTTTGGTGAAAGAAGTGAAAGAGGGTGGTGGAAAGGTTTTGGTCTATTCGTCTATGCATGTTTCAGCACCTCAACTCTCTATGCTTACGGGTGTTGCTGCCATTCTTAGGTTTCCTTTGCCTCATCTCCAAGACTTTGATGTTTAGAACGATACATGGGGTTCAAGATTGATTCATTTCTTTTATTAATTGTTTATACTTTGTACGCTTTCATTTCCTTTAATTGTCATTTGTACAGTTTATGATTTGGGTTTGTTTATGTAATTAATCGTGTGTTCCAATTGTTGATTTCATATGTTTTTGTGTACAAATTTGCGAGAGATGTGTAATACTAAATGACTCAAGAATCTGTTGTCCGTTGTTGCTTTACGATAAATAAATGAGTTATCTACATTTCTCTCATAGAAAAATAAAGTAAGAAAAAATTAGTGCCTTTTTGGGTTATCTCCAAGACTCTGCGATTCAAGACCCCTTTTTAGAAGAAAAAAGAGATGAAGAGATACTAAAAGCAGAAGAGATGAGGATTGTTGAGTGGTTTGCTTGTGTTCAATGCTTATATATATAGTTGATGAGTTTTTTTTTTTTTTAAGCTTGTAATAATTGGTCATGAGATCAGATATTTGATACTTTGAAGTGTTTTTTACTTTTATATTTATTTTATTTTTCAAGGTTTATTTGGTATTTTTTTAAAAAATAAAACAGAAAATCACATCTCAATAAAATAAAATAAAAACTTTAAAAAAAATTAATACAGTTTTTAATTGGATTATATCACATCTAAATTTAGAATCAAATCAATCAAGTGATAAAACAGTAAAAGTGAAGAAATTTGATTGATAACCCTATTCTCAAAACCGATCCAATTTAATTTTTAAAAAAATCTATCACCAAAAAGGAATACCTTTAAGTGTATTTTTTTTATAGTTAAAATACATTTTGAAACGTGTATATACGAAAAAATATAAAAACTAAACCAGATATAAAAAAGATTATGTATGGTGTAATAAAGGATATTAATTAAATTTAGTTGTTCAAATAATGAAATTAAATATATAAATTCTTCTAATTTTAAAAAATAACTTAATTTATTTTAATTGTTAAAAATATAACTATTAAATATTTTTAATATAATAAATACCATAAAAAAAATTAGTCACCGACATGTATGTCAATTGATTGGTATTTGTTGAAAAAGAAAATATTTGTTTGGGTGTTAGATTGAAGGTAAGTTCCTATACTTTGAGCTTTAAATTTTTAATTTTCCTAATTTCGTGGCAAAATGAAAGCACGTATTGCATTTTTTTTTTAATTTAAATCACTTTTAAACAAGAGACATATTAATAAGAGAAAGTAATATCTCTTTTAAATGTATTTTTTATTTTTTTATATTCACATATCCAAATATATAAAAATTACAGTTAACTGTCCAAACAAAGTGACAGTGGAGACTTTAACGCTGTTATTTTTTAAAAAATTTGTGTCAAATTTTTTGTTGGGTCTAAAACGCAGTTGTTTTTGGGTGCGGTGGGTGTGTGGTCCTGGTTCGATTCTGGCGAGTCAAAGTCACTCCCATAACTACGGGTCTCTGACTACCTTGACCCATTAACCAGTCAAGCAAAGCGTGCTCTTTCTTAAAAAATAATAAATTATGTAATAGATTTAACGATAAAATAAAATAATTTATTTTCATAAATTATATCAAAATAATGTCATAAATTATTTTATATAAACTGCTCATAAACTCTTCTGAATAATACGAAATTTAAATTGATAAAAATAGTAAAATGAGTTTCATAATTTATGTTATTTATATATAAAATAAGAGTTTTTGTTAATCTCAATCTTTATAACTGAGTTTAAATATTTATAAATAAAAAAAATTTATAAAAAAATATAGTTATTATATTAAAGTTATAAAAATATAATAAGTAATTTTTTAATAAATTTTTATTATTATTAACCACTTATAAAGATTGAAATTAATAAAGTAAATGTAAAATAATGGATTTGGGTCTTTGTGGGAGAATAAAAAACAATTGTTAGTAAATAGAAACACCAAACAGGCCAAGGCATTAGGCAAGTGAAATGCAGAATGATGCAGTAGCAGAGTCTTATTTCTACCTTATGGTAATTTTCAATTTTGTGATAGTTATTTGCAATTATCTAAGTGTATCAATTAAAAAATGAAAATTCAGAGTTACTTGGCCAGAATATGGTGTGACCATTGAATAGTAAATCTATGTTCCGACAGGTCTCTTGCTTTCTTTCATATTCAATCCCGGTAATTGCCATTGGTATGCTCGTGGATCAAAATTTGTGCAAGACCTCCATAATCACTCTGCAAAGAAAAAAAATATGGTAAAGTAGATGCAGTTATATTGAGCCTGTGATCCATCACATTAAGATTGGTAAATGAGCTGTGAAACAATGATTTGTGCTGCCTCAGTGATGAACCCAAAAGGAAGCGAGTTAAAACGTCTCTTTCATGTGGAATTGGGGATCCCGACATGTCCCACCACCAGAAAAATACACCTGTAAGAATAAATGACATCAAAATTATAAATTCTTATAGAGTGCAACTTAAGATCATTTTCTTTTTCTTTTCTTTTTTTATATTCTTACCATTAAATTCTCTACTCAAATAACAGCACCTGAATTTTATAGCTTTCATTCAAAATGATAACATTTTCATACTTCATTGCTCTAATTTTTTAAAAGAACAAATTACATTCACATTGTTTTTTAAATTTTAAAATCGGGAGATGTTTCTAAATCTAAAAATTTCTCTCAACAATAAACCTTACATTCACATTATTTGAGGTTCAATAAAATTTTATTTGATAGTTTTTTATATTATATTAAATTTTTAAATTTATGTAATATTATAATATCATGCATTATTTTTACAGTTTATTTCTATTTTTATATATTTAATAAAATAAAAATACCAAGATAACATTTTGTTGAGTTTTTAAAAATGTGAGTGTAATTTTCTAAAGAAAAATATTAACAAAATGGTCATTTAAATATATTTTTAACATATGTTTTTTATGTTTTTAATTTTTTAAAAGATAATCAATTAATGACTAATATATTAAAAACAATGTATTGTTCACAATTTGTTTTTTCCTATATATTTTTATTTTATAGTAAAAAAAAGACTATAAGAGAGAGACCGGGTCCTCTCTCTCTCTCTAACGTTTCTCACTGCAGAAGACTCAATGCAGAAACTGCGTCGTCGTTGCGATTGAAGAAAGGAGAGGAGAATGCGGGGTGGTGTTCCCGTGCTGTTTGCGTTAGCCACCGTGGTGGTGCCGGCGACGGTGGTTCTCGGCGGTTTGGCGGCGACTTTTCTTCCTCTGGAACGGGCCATTCCTCTGAACCAGCAAGTTGAACTTGGGACACTGAGAGCTCGCGACAGAGCACGGCACGGTCGAATCTTGCAGGGCGTCGTTGGTGGCGTTGTCGACTTCTCAGTCCAAGGAACCTCCGATCCTTACTTCGTTGGGTACGGCTAATTCTTTTTTCACTTCGTTTCAATTTGCCTTCAATATATACGTGTATTTTTTTTTTCTTTCTTAATCTTCCATTTTGGTTACGCATTTTCTGATTTCCCTAATGTAAGTGTCTGCAAGAAGAAGATAGAGTGCTTTAGATCGTAATATAGTTTTGTATAATGTTGACGACTAGAAAGTTAGTAGTAGCGTGTGCTTTTCGAGCTTGAGTTAATCTTGGTTTTCTTGTTCAGGTTGTATTTCACGAAAGTGAAGTTGGGATCACCTGCAAAAGAGTTTTACGTTCAGATTGATACTGGAAGTGACATCTTGTGGCTAAACTGCATGACTTGCAGTAATTGCCCGCAATCTAGTGGGTTGGGGGTGAGAATTTGAGGCTTTTATTTTATTTGTTGTTGATTAATTTAACGTTCGGTCTTGTGGATAAGAGTATAATGGTTTGATACTCTTGTTTGTGTTATGTTATGCATTCTGCAGATTCAGCTCAATTTCTTTGACACGGCCAGCTCATCCACTGCTGCGCAGGTTTCGTGCTCGGACCCGATATGTTCTTATGCGGTTCGAACTGCGACGAGTGAATGCTCTTCTCAGGCCAATCAATGCACCTACACCTATCAGTATGGGGATGGAAGTGGGACATCTGGTTATTATGTTTCTGATACGATGTATTTTGACATGATCCTGGGGCAGTCTGTGTTTTCTAACTCATCTACCATTGTTTTTGGGTGAGTCCTTATGATTTTGTGGATAGTTGTGTGGGAACATTTAAAAAGCAGAACTGGATCACAGGGTCAGAGGTCACATTTTGAGTTCCCTCGGTCGCAAATCATATAATATTATGGATCAAATGGACATTTACTGCATAAGTTATAGAAAACTTTGTCTGGGGTAGGCTTTTGAAATAAAAAGGGCGACAAGCTAACATAATGTGGGTTGTGATTTTCACCATTAGCCTATTGTTTCTTTCGTGGTAGTTTGCTCATTTACTCCATGTTTATGTTAATATGGATATTGGTTTTAAATGAAGTATTTTGGATGGTTATCTTGGGAACAGGTGTAGTTCCTATCAGGCTGGGGATTTGACTAGGACAGATAAAGCAGTTGATGGAATTTTTGGGTTTGGCCCTGGTGCTTTATCTGTCATATCACAACTGTCATCACAGAGTGTAACACCCAAAGTGTTCTCTCATTGCTTAAAAGGACAGGACAATGGAGGAGGCATACTAGTTCTTGGTGAAATTTTGGAGCCAAGTATTGTTTATAGTCCACTTGTCCCATCGCAGTATGTTCTCTCGATGCACTTATTTCCTTGTTTTCTTTTCTCTATTGGTGGATATATTTTTCCCAAATATCATATTATCATATTACATTGATACACGCAAGCTTTATTCATTTTCACAAGAAAACTATTAAACTCGGTATTTGCATATTTCAGGGATTTTCAAACCATTCACCATGCACTGTTTATTCAGCAAAAAATGTTTTTGTTTGTTGTAAATGTAATAAATATCTTAAAACGAATACAAATGATAATATGCAAGAAATTTGTTTTATTTTAATGAATTGTTTTTGAATTGAATATATAAGGTGATATTGCTTACTCAGGTTTTGGTTCTTATAATGTTGCATGCCATTATTCCTGTTGTCAAATAATTAGCAGTTCTATATCTGTATATCAGTATATTGCAATATTTTATATGAGATATGCTGCTGTGTATTTGACTTATTCCTTGATCAAATTTCAGGCCTCATTACAATTTAAATCTTCAGAGCATTGCTGTGAATGGACAACTTCTCTCAATTGATCCAGATGTATTTGCAACAGCTAACAATCGAGGAACTATAGTTGACTCTGGTACAACATTGGCATACCTTGTTCAAGAAGCTTATGATCCTTTTGTCGATGCTGTAAGTATTCGTTTGCTGATCTTCAAATTTTTGTAACACTACACTCTGCTGTGGCCAAGTTTGTGATTTTGTTGTTGTTCACCAAGTGCATTTTTTCGAGTACATAAAATCTGGCATGGCCCTCTACACTGTTCAGTCTTACCTAAAATAATAAATTCTAATGCAACTATGCAAGTAACAGGAAAAGCCTTCCGTCTCAACCAGAAGGCTTTTAATTTAAGGCTGTCCTCAATTTTAAATATGCCCTAGATAACTGAATGATCAATACCCACTGATGATTTAAGATCTATTTGACAAATCTTCTGTAAGAGACTCCTTAATCTGTTTATGCAATCTCTTCCTTTGGAAAAAATGCACATTGACAGAAGTACCCATGAAAATCACTTGCTAACTTCATAAATTCGAGTGTTTTCACACTTGCAGAACCCTGTCTTTCTTTTGTGAAAGTAGGAGAGTTTTTGCAACTTTTTCACATGCACTCTACTAAATACTAATAGAGTAAGTATGAAGATGGAAATAATAACCATCTATCTAGACTGTGGAAATTAGGGTCAAGTCATAATCAAAGAGATCTGGCAATTTCTTAGGTATTTGTTACCATACATATTTTACTGAAGACCCTTACTATAATGTGATAAAGTAGGAGGCTTGTATCGAAACTTTACGCCACTGTAGGAAGAGGGGTTGAGTGTCCATAAGTGAACTTTATTATGCATTTCAATCTTAGAAATGTTGCTAGAAAAATTTTATATGTAGCTTGGATTATGTAGTTTAATACTTTATTTTATTTATTGTTATTTGCTATTCTAGGATTTTATTCTGTTTTGGATTATCTTATACCAACTTAGAATTGTAATAACTTGGGCAGCATATATTTGTTCCACTGGTCATGAAGTTGTGTCTGTCTTAACAGATTAGAAGATTTTAGATATTATGATGTGGTCATTTTTTTGAAACAATGTCCCAAAATACAAAAACTAAGTTTTCTGACATATTGGAAGTCCTTGTCCATGGTGTGTTACTGTCTGGGACACCAATTTGATGGTGACCTTAGAACCCTAAAATCCAGCTTTGATGGTGCGGAACCCTAAATCAGCTTTGATGGTGCGGAACCCTGTGCTTATCTTGACAGGGTTCTCCCCTGATATACTTAGAGTACTCATCTAGGACAGAATGCTTGTTCAACTCATGCAATGTAAAATCAAAACCTGATGCTGAATTTGATGTAAAACAATCCTGGAGTGCTCCTCTTGGCAGGGCATTCCCCCTGACTAACCTAAAATACCCCTCTAGGGTAGAGTACTCTCTGACTCAAATATCAGGTATTCTTTGAACAAAGAGAACTTAGGATCTTATAATAATCAAAATAATAAGTTATTCATATCCTAAGTTAGAATCAGATAAATATAAAATGGAATAAAATCCATGAATAGCATATAATAATAAACTATCCTAAATAAAATAATAAAACCCCAATAATATTAAATAGCTCTATCTACATCACCTGGAGTGTAAACATTGGAGATTCTTCTGATTATTATATGATATTGGTCTTTTTACTCAGTTTCTAATATTTGAGTTGGAAGTGTACTTGGTTTTCTAAGGGAAGTATATTCTTGGGTTGCATCCTACATCAATAGTATAATGTTTTGTTCCCAAGATCCAGTATCCACTCACCCAAGAAGTCCAAATGATAAATTGATAACGCTAAATCTTGATTCCATGATACATGGAATGCAAAGACTACTGTCACTGTAGTTTTGTATTATCAAATGGAATTTGAACTGTAATGTCAACCTATATCCTGTTTCAATATGCAATGGATACTGAACAAAATGTAGTATCCTGATTTTCTTTCATTCTTTCCAAGTGGAAGTCTTGAAGAGAGGCAAACTACTTCTTACTTGGGTTATTTGTCTTGCATTTTAAATTTAAAAAAAAAATTGATATACTATGTTCTGATGTTAAATTTCTAAATGAATGTGTAGATAACCACCGCTGTCTCACAGTTTTCAAAACCCATTATTTCAAAAGGAAACCAGTGCTATCTGGTCTCAAACAGGTTATTTTAATTCAAACTCAATTTTGTAACAAAGATCTTCAAGTTTTCTTTCATCATTAAATTTTTTTATTCTACTACAATTTCTGTGGATCTCATTTGAATTTATGCGATTCAGTGTAGGTGATATATTTCCTTCTGTGAGTTTAAACTTCATGGGTGGGGCATCCATGGTTTTAAATCCAGAACATTACCTCATGCATTATGGTTTCCAAGTAAGTATGTCTATTTCTAGTCTGGTCACATTTATGCATCTTTTTTCTTGCCTAGGCAGGAGTAATTCTTTTGAATTGTATGTCATTGATAATAGTCTGACGCTCTACCTTGCTTTCACAGGATGGAGCTGCAATGTGGTGCATTGGCTTCCAGAAAGTGGAGGAGGGATTCACAATTTTAGGAGGTTAGAAGCTGGAAGAATTTTGTAAATGGAATAAAATCTGGAAAGAGTTCGGAGAAATACACACTTTCTAAAATCTGATTATGAAATGGGCTCTTAGTAAATACTAAATAGTATGGAAAATCTTGAATGGTGAATATGTCTTGTCTTCTATAGTAATAAACAGTATATCACAGTCATTTCATTGAGAATTTCTTATTTTTGGTGGACTGGACATGTGATTGGCAAAACTGAAAACACCTGGTAAGGTTGTACCAAGAACCTTGTTCAATCAAAATAATAATTTCCTTTCCGTGAGCATTCAAATGGGATTTTATAATATAATTTGAAAAAGGTTAGGTTCTGTTGATGTCATGTCATCATTCAAATTAATGTTTTACTCGGGATTTCATTTTGTAATTTAGCACCTCATCAAGTGAAGTAGTTTTGTATTTTTTGTACTGGGTTTATCAACAAAGTTGTTTCGTTCTTTGCAGATCTTGTCCTAAAAGATAAGATTTTTGTATATGACTTAGCTAATCAACGAATTGGATGGGCCAATTATGATTGTAAGTTTACCAAAGGAACTGTATCTTCCCCACATATATGGATATGGTCCTTTACTCTGTCATAACTTTGAATTTGTTCTCAGGTTCCCTGGCTGTAAATGTCTCTGTGGCCACGAGCAAGAGCAAGGATGCATATATCAATGCAGGACAGATGAGTGTCAGCTGTTCCCACATAGGCTCTTTCTCCAAGTTGCTAACTGCCAGCATTGTTGCTTTCCTTGTGCACATAATAGTTTTCATGGAGTCCCAATTTTCGTAATCCACGTCCAAGAGTCAAAGATTATTCTTTGAAACTCACAGAGGTTGGCTGATGTTTTATTTATTATCGGCATGGCCTTCTGATATTTTGAGAAGGGAGTGGTCGCTGTTTTCTGCTCTGTATTTAATCTCATTGGTATCTTTCCATTAACGTGATGAAAATGCGGATCCATTGTAAAGGGGGACTCTCTTGTTGGGAACTGGCATATTTGTATATTAGTGTAACTGCGGAGTAGATGGAAATTGTACTATTTATAAACTCCTCTGACTGCATTAAACAGTTTACTTGTTAGTTGTGATGAGCTAAGGCTATAGGAACGTCGGGTTCGTGGAATTGTATTCTATTGTCACCAATGAATTGATGTGAGCGGCAACAAAATTGTTAAAGGAAGCCGAACAATAGATTTCTTGGAATAGAAAGATGATTATCTCTACGGTTTTCTTACTATCAACTTTTACGGTTTATTTTAATATCGTGAAAATAATAAAATTTTATTAAAAAGAATGAGTTTATTATATTGAAGATATAAAGTGCGATAAATACTTCTTTTAAATAAAATTTTACTGTTTTTATTTGCTTACAGTAATGTTTTCTCATATTATTCTATTTTAATCCGTGTTGACCTTGGAGAATTCCTGTTATTTTTTTCAATTTATGGCTTTTTATTGCCCATACTATAATAATACAAAGAAATTTAGATAAAAAATTATATTAAACAAGAAATAATAATGGGCAACACTAACTATAAATCATGCAGTACGTACGAACAATTTAAAATCATCAATAAAAAAAATATTGTCATAATTAAGTTCATTGTAATATATTATCATTCTTATAATAATTAAATTTATTTTAAAATATGAAAGTTTATATAAATTAAATATTTATGTTGCTTTAATATTATATATTATAACCGTCTTATGAATATGAAAAAGATGTTGGTTGACGTCGCTTAGTATGCGTTTTCGTGGTCTCTAACCCCTAAATATATTTGTTATTTGACATGCACATTGTTATATTTCCCTGAAATTTGTGTGGCTGGGAAAGTGTTTATGTAGTTGACGTTGCATCCGCAGAGAAAGAAAGGGATCGTGCAGGAGCGCGTCGGAATAGGGTGGTGTCCGGGGGAGTCGCCTCAGCTTCAAAGCTTATTGTCACTTCAGTTATGTGCAAGTAATATGCGTTTGCGATTGCGATTGCAAGCGTTTTCTTTGTTTGCGTGCATTTTGAAACAGTCCTCCTCATTCCTCAACGCTCATATGCCCGTTTCTCTCTCTGAATTACTATGTGCTCCTTCTTCCCCTTTTCTTGTGCCCCACGCGCTATTCTCTCTTCTAACTAAAATATTAACATTCCAAATTCTATCCTCCTTTACCAAACGGTTATAACATTCCTAAACTATCTAATACATTTACATATTTTGTGTACCTTTTCATTTATCATTATTGCCACCAAAGTTTCTTAACTGGATGGCTACCATTGATTATCATTACCAAAAATAAGTAATGTTGCTAAGGAAGCCCCAATCCCTCGTTTTTGTCACACTCTAGTACTTGGCAGCGTCTTTTCATTGTTGTTAATAAGAAAAATGTCATCTTTTTTATTTTTATTCTTCTGAACCATATTGATAAATACACTAAATTGAATATAAACAACAATGGAAAAATCTCGTTTGTTGTGTGTACTGAAAATGCCTCGTAAAACTTTGGAAATAATAGTGTAAATAAAACATATATAGAAAAACTCCATTGTGAATCTAGTACAGACAACAATAATAGAAAACTAAAATGCAAATTAGGTGATATCAAACACTCCACACAACAACTTTTTCCCACCAGAAAAATGAAAAATGGTCTTTTACAAACCATTTATTAATATCACAAGACTTGCTAATCGGGTTGCTTTTAAACTATTGATTAAAAAAATAAAAAATATTATTAATATACTTATACCATAATACTTTTATAAGTTTTTTAATAAAATTACTTATCAATCAATTTTTTTTTAGAAGGAATCATATTATAATTTTTTTAAAAATGAAAAATTTAACAAAAAATATAGTCGAAAGTTTTTTTTTTCTCAAAAAGTAAGAAAAAATAACTTACACAACTCTACAAAAGTGTGCCATAATAAAAGCAAACTTATGGAAAGTTATCTTTATTCATGGTGTCGTGATCTAAAATCGCAGCCAGCCAGCCATTGACAATTTGTTGATGAGGGGAGAATTTCCTTAAATCATTAAAAATCCAAGTCAAAGCAAAAAAATGAAAAAGAAAAAAGAAAAAAGAAAAAGCGAAGAAAGAGCGAGTGCGAGGAACGCTGGGGCACAGCGCGTGGGTTGGAGTGCATAGTTTATGGTACCGAACGGCCATGCATGCGGAATCCTCCTACGCTCACTCACACACACACACCACCCTCTCTCTCTCTTTCTATCCTTCGTCCATATCATATCACACACTTTCTTCATTCTCGCTTTCTCTCACTCACCTCTACAAAGTTTCATTTTCTCTTCTCTGGAGCAAGAATCCCCTGCGCTCGCTCTCTCTTTCTTTCTCTACTCCCATTTTCAGATTCATCCATGGCGGTTCCTCCGTCGGTCGCCACCACTCCGGCGTCTCTCTACGTCGGCGACCTCCATCCTGAAGTCTCCGACGCTCATCTGGTCGACGAATTCTCAGAGTTCAAGAGCCTTACCTCCGTTCGCGTTTGCAGAGACTCCTCCACCGGCAAATCCCTCTGTTATGGTTACGTCAACTTCGTTTCGCTTCAAGACGGTGCGTTTTTATCATCTTTCTTTTCGTTCTTTTTCTTTCTTTAGGTTACGGAAAATGATAAGTGTTATTTCTTTGGTTATGCTCAAATTTCTTTTGATGAAATCTTGATCTTCGTTGTTTCTTGATTTCGTGTTTATTATAAACGTTTCTAAAATTATTGATCAAGATCTGAGTGTTTGTTTTATTAGTGTTGTATTGTTCAAGTTGCCGTAATCTTTTTTGTTCTTTTGGGTTTTGGCAATGTAGCAATTCGTGCAATCGAGCTGAAGAATAATTCTGTGCTGAATGGAAAAGTGATAAGGGTGATGTGGTCGCGTCGTGATCCTGATGTAAGGAAAAGTGCCATAGGGAACTTGTTTATTAAGGTATCTTACGTACATGGAGCTTTGATTTGAAATAGTTAAGCCATTGTTTGGTTCTTCTATCTTCTTTGATTCTTACGGAGTTTTTCTTGTGTCGTGGCAGAACTTACCCGAATCAACAGATAATGCCGCTCTGTATGATACATTCAAAAAGTTTGGGAATATTTTGTCCAGCAAAGTTGTCGTGTCTGAGGATGGGAAGAGCAAGGGACACGGATTTGTGCAATTTGAATCAGAAGAATCTGCAATTACTGCTATCGAGAAGCTGAATGGCTCCACTATTGGTGATAAGCAGATGTATGTGAAATTCTGAGTTGTTAATCTTTTTCACCATGCTTTGAAGTACTGATTTTCGTGCCTACAGTTTGATGGTTGTATTCAATTTCTGTACACCTGTTATTCCCTGATATTAATTTTAATCTGATCATGATTCTTGTCCAGATATGTTGGGAAGTTTGTCAAAAAAAGTGATCGCATTCAGTCAGGCCCTGATGCCCAATATACAAATTTGTACATGAAGAATTTGGATCCAGATATTACAGAGGCCACTCTGCAGGAAAAGTTCTCTTCTTTTGGGAAAATTGTGAGCTTGGCTATTGCAAAGGACGACAATGGGATGTCAAAGGGTTTTGGCTTTGTAAACTATGATAACCCAGATGATGCTAAAAGGGCATTGGAAACAATGAATGGTTCACAATTAGGTAGTTTATACACCATTTTACCGCGTGTAGCTTTTCTGCTGGCAAAATTGAAAATTCTCTTTGTAGTATATCCTTATATTATCTGGTTTTGATTTGCCATGAACAGGTTCAAAGATTCTGTACGTAGCTAGAGCACAAAAGAAGGCTGAGCGTGAGCAGATCTTGCATCATCAATTCGAGGAGAAACGCAAGGAACAAATCTTGAAATATAAGGTAATTTCTTTGCCATTCTCCCATATTAAACTAGTCATTTTTTTTCCAGTTGTCTTAGAATGTCATCGTTTCAGGGATCAAACATTTATGTGAAGAACATTGATGATAATGTAAGTGATGAAGAACTGCGAGATCATTTCAGTGCATGTGGCAATATAACTTCTGCAAAAGTTATGAGAGATGACAAAGGGATAAGTAAAGGGTTTGGGTTTGTCTGCTTCTCCACTCCCGAGGAGGCGAACAAAGCTGTGAACACTTTTCATGGTGAGTTAAGTTGTTGATAGGACAGTGTTCATTCATGCTTCAGTGTTTTGGTAAGTATTCTAGCAGTAAAATGAAGTAGGAAAGCAAATGCTTACATATGTTTCAATGTGCAAGAACGTTATGATATTTTTATTGGATTATAATTTTGGAATTTCGATTCATTTACAATGTTATTTTTAATTTTTAATCATGTATTTTTCCATCAAGTACTCTTTATGTGCTATGTACACGTCACTTTTTTTTTATATTTTGGTGTTTAAAAAAGGTTTAAGATCAACAATGACAAGAAACCTTGATAATTCTTTTCTCTTCATCTTATTCCATGGCTGTTTGATCATTGCTAATGAAAAGACTAGCAGAGTGCTTCCCTCAATTTCTTGTATTGCAGGGGTTCCTTTCCATAGTTTGATGAGTTCCTGCTAGGTTCTCCCAGGGATATATTTATGATATTTCTGAATGTGTACTCTGTGTGTGTGTGTGTGTGTTTTGTGTGGGTGGGTGTTATTGATGGTTCTTTTTTATGTAATCAACTGTGTTTTTGGGTTGGTATTTATTCTTTTTAAAAATTGAAGTGAATGTTCCTATTAGCCATTTGGTTTGTGGGATAAGACTACTTTAATATGGGTTTGTCAATAAAGTGCACAACTTTTTAGAGCATTCTTTTCCCGGTTTATGAATGTGACACAATCAATTCATGTCAATGTGAAAGAAGGATATCCATAAATCTGAAAGTATATGTTGTCATATACTGCTTTTTGTATATTGATTTGGAACTGAAGTTTTGATCTTGCATGTGTACATTTTTTTAGTGAAGATTTTATGAAATGCAGCTGTGTCTGCAATGCCAGCCTTAATTGTCTTGATTATGTTTAAGTTGATGTTATGTGCTGCAGGATTCATGTTTCATGGTAAACCACTATATGTTGCTCTAGCCCAGAGGAAAGAGGATAGACAAGCACAGTTGCAGCTCCAGTACGCACAACAAATACCAGGACTAGCTGCACCTTCAGCTGCCATTATCCCTGGTGGATATCCCCCTTACTACTATACAGCTACTAGTGTTATTTCACATGTGCCTCCTCGAGGTGGGCTAATGTATCAACCTCTGGCATTGAGGCCAGGATGGAGGACTAATGGCTTTGCTCCCCCGGCTAGATCATTTCAACAATCACCTGTTCCTGCAGTGAGTAACAACTTTGTTTAGAAACCCAAAAAATGTTTGTATTTAATTCACTTTTCTAATGATTTTTTTAAATTAGGGTTTATGTGAAAGAAATTTCTGAAGAATTTTTTACCACAATGTAACTAAATGGCCACATTTGTTTTATTTGGAAAAGCTAGTCCTGTTTAAATGGGAGTTGTAATGATTCATATTTATAATGCCTTTCATTCACAGGTTTCTAACAATGCTAGGCAGCATAGGCAAAACAGGGGCAGGGTGAATGGGCATACAATATCACAGGGAAATACTCACTCTGGTACTTATTTTCCAAATGCCCAGCAGATTTCTCAGTCAGTGGTCTCTTCCAGGGAGTCGAGTACTCAGCAGGTTTGCTTTTTCTTTTTTGTTTATTTTGTCCCCTCACATATAGAACATGTTTCCTAATATATCATGCATTTCTATTTGCAGTAATAAATGCTTATTTAGTGCACATTCTCTACCCAAATATCTGGTCTCTTGGTGGCTAGTGCCGCTTGTTTAATCAAACAACACTTTTAAAATGCTCTAGACACATTCAGAAACTGAACTTGAAATCAGGCCTAGTAAACAACTTCTGTTTAGTTTTCAATATAAAACAGTTAAGATAGTTGGATTTCATTTCAAAACTTGATCGCTTTTTAGGCATGTGCTCTATAGTTCTGATTCCTATAGTTTTCTATTCTTTGAAGAGAACCGGACAGGCTAAGTACATACCTAATGGACGCCGGGAGATGGAAAAAGGATCTGGATTCTCATCTGGTGGTTCATACTCTGGAGCTTCGCAGGGTTCAGAAATACTGCATAGCATGCTTGCTGCTGCTGCTCCTGAGCAGCAGAAAGAGATACTCGGGGAGCATCTTTACATGCTTGTTCATAAACTCAAGGTATAAAATTATAAATCCACAATTCTCTTCTGTATTTTGGTAATTAAGGTTAGGTTTTTAAATCTCTAAAGTTTATTTACTGTGTTATCTTTAACAGCCTAGCCTAGCAGCGAAGATAACAGGGATGCTCTTGGAGATGGACAACGGAGAATTGCTGCTTCTCCTGGAATCGCCAGAGTCTCTTTCTGCCAAGGTTGAAGAAGCTGTCCAAGTGCTCAAGAACTCTAAGACCAAAGTCTCTGGCCAGGATGTACTTCATTCAAATTACCTTTCTGCTGAGGTTGCAGTGAACTGAAGACTTTAACCTGCTAATGATTCTTGTATGAAGTATAGATCATGAAGCGGTCGAAGCCTCCAAGAATGCCGGATTTGATACACGAGTTTTGACATCCATGATTACCTTACAGAATTTCTTCTATAGTATATTACCTCATGAAAAATAAAACTATTTTCTTTCCTTAGGTTTTATGAGAAGCGGTAGTGATGATAAGAATCAGTGACAAATTTGTTTTGGATTTTGATTAACTTCGACGAAACTTGGTTCAATATTTTTCATTTCACATTCATATGCTATGCATACATGTAGGGTATATTCAACACATGTAAACAATTCTGAATCGAATATAATATGCTATCACAAGTTTACTTTTGTAGCTTTTTAAAATTAATCTTCTCATTTTTTCTGCACACTTACATTCTATCACTTGCCCCTGATTGTTTTTTGTCTGAATCATAAACTTTAATTCTAAAATACAATTTAGCAAAAAGTTGAAGTTGTCAATTTTATGGTCGAAAGTTAAGTATGCTGTTGTTGTAAATACTTATAATTATTAGAAGTTGAGGTTACTTACTCTTAAAAATTCATTCAAGGAAAACTGCCTGTCTTATAAGGATTAATTTAATTACACAAGTTAATGTATGTCATCTTAACTCTTGTCATGAACTGTCTGGGATAGGAGTAGTATTAATACAATTTTATTTTATTTTGTTATTAATTGATATTTATTAAAAATTATAAAATCATAAATAGACATGTTAACTAATAAGTAAAACTTACAAAAATTTGTAATTTATTTTTATAAATTTTAGCCAATAAAACTTTATCTTATTAAGGCTGAAAAATATTAGATTAACTCCTTAGTAAAGGGATTGGAGGAAAATAAATAATAAATAGCAAGGTGGCATAACGCAGTGCTTATTCTAAGGTGCAGGTCTCTCAAAATTATTCAATAAGCAGATCAACTAAGTTGGCTTAGATGTCACACATCTGGTAAACAACATAGTGGTCATGTCTGCAAATTCTGTCATGACGCTCTAGTTCTTCAATTGACTATTTTTCCCTTAATGAGCATACAACATCCAAGGAAGAGGGAAAATTTGACGGAGGGAAATTTACGTTGTAACTGATGATTCTAAGCATCTCAATTTTTGGTTGAGATTTATTTCTAAATCCAAGTTCATACTATGATCGATTAGAAATATTAAATCCCAAACAAGGGGTTTGCTTCATTGCAGTTGAATACGGCAATGGAAATCGTATGTTAAATATTAGTAATGATCATGTATGTTCTTGGCTTTGTTATGCCCCACGTTATAAGCTTTAAAAGATAAGAGAAGATAAAATAATAAGTATTATCATGTAATTTTTAATATATTAAATTCTATAATTCTTATAAATATTTATTATATACAAAATTTTATTATATATATTTGGCATGATTGAAAGATGTTTATATTGATGTTAACAAAATATCATTTTTAGAAGTCAACAATTGGCCAGAATTTTCTGATTAACAGCGCCGACATAGCCCCTTATTTTTATTATTCGTCAACAACACTGCATCTTTACCTATTTCTTTTATTTTGTTTTTTGGTTTATAGAATAACAGAGAATGGGAAGCGACAGGCGAAGAGGGCGAAGACGAAGAATATCAGATAAGTCTGCCTCCGACTCGCCTTCCCAATCTGACTCCGACAGACCTCGCCGAAGTACTCAGAGCAGTAGCCGCCGGTCACGGCGAGACTCAATTAGCTCCGACGACGATGACAGCGGCGGAAGGAAGAGAAAGTCCTCAAGGACCATCACGGAAGAGGAAATAGCACAATACATGGCTCAAAAGGCCCAAAGAAAGGTTTCAAACTTGCTTCTCTATCTTTCTCTCGTCTCTTCACCATTTTATTTCACGTGTCTCATTGTTTTTCACTCTTTCAGGCAACCAAAGTCGCGAAAAAGTTGAAAACAAATACGGTTTCGGGTTATTCCAATGATTCTAATCCGTTTGGTGACTCTAATCTCAACGAGAAGTAATTTCCTCCTTATTTCTCTTTCTTTCTCGTCGTTTTTTGTATTTCGTGATTTAAATTTAAATTTATTTTAGATCGTTTACCTTCACAACATATAAATCTTGCAGATGAGTACTGGTCGCTCATATGACAGATTATATATAGATTATAAACATACGAAAATGTTATTTATAGGTTTGTTTGGCGCAAGAAGATTGAGCGTGATGTTTCTCAAGGTGTGTCTATTGATACGTTTTCGGTTAAAGCTGAGAAAAAGAGACAGAGAGAAAGGATGGTATGTATTTCCTTCCATGAATTTTTGTTTAAGCACAGTTTGATATATGATGTATTGTAGAAGCTTGAGTTGCTAGCAATAGTGACACTAGGCTCACACTAGTAGCTGTACAACTGGACATTATTTGTTTCTTCGATGTTAGCAGCGTGTCCCGTACAAGTTTCGATAATTGAGAAGCTTTAAAGTGATAGTAGTGTAATTGTATGTTGGTGCCAATTTAGTTTATAGACTATATGTGCACACGTTTTGATGGAAAAGTAACTGGTAGGAGAAGATCAAACTTACACTATCTGGTGGTTGTTCTAGAGGATAGAATGAGTGTGATTAGTCCATAACAGGGTCAAACTTACACTATCGGGTGGTTGAAGTATTGCACTAAATGTAAGAGATCGATCTTTCCCTTTTTATGTTCAGTATTAGGAATGGTAGCCTCATCATATGACCTTCTATTATTTGGAATGTGCTTCATTTTCTGTGATGTTCCTTGTTAATACCCTAGGAAAGGGTGTGATCGATACATCTTTTCTTTTATTTTACATTAGAGCATGGCAATTGCTGCTGAACAGGAGATAATCTTAGCTTAAATTTCCTATGTAATGTATATCATTCTGTGCTTCCTTCCAGTAGAAATTCAATGATATTGCATGGCGATGTAGAGAAAAGATATTACCACTTGCAAGGATTGGATTTATAGAGTTTGTCTATTTTTGACTGCCAGCCACTGGTTTTCAATATTTGGATCTTGAGGTTGTGTTCTGCTATTGGTAAAATTCATTTAAATAATTGTCTTCTAAAAATAAATAATGTGGCGAGAAGCCAGTCTAAACTTTTCCTATGAAATATGGGGCGGATCTTAGATTTTCTCAAATGTATAATTTTCACTTACATCCTCAGTTTCTGTAGTTCTTGCCAGGCACTCAGTCCATAGTACCATACAGGCACTCAATCCACATTATTCTTGCCTATGGTTGGTCCTGTGTAATGGACACTGTTTTTAGAAACTATTTGTTCTGATTTAATCTTTGCAGCTTGTGAAGATGCTGATTTCCATTATTAGAACTGCCATTTTCTTCCATAAATAAATGAATATTATTTTTCTCTATCTTTCAATGGTGCTCAGAGATTGTATTGGAAGAAATCAGACAAACATTATATGGTGTTAAATCATTCTGATGTCTTTATTTTTACCTGGATAACTTATTCCTGATATAATCTTATCCATTGGGGATTGTTGTGAATTTGGTTTGCTTGGGTTATGTTAAACTGTAGCTGGAAATGAACGGATGAAACTTTTTCAGCAATTCATTAGGCTATTATACTTTAACTTGTTTTTGAGGTTAGGCTTTGCATCTTTGTTCTTTGTTTTCACTAATTTGTTGAACCTTTGATTTGTCATTGCTGACCAAACAACTGAACTTTCTCACTGCTTGTCATTACAATATTCACAATTATAATACAGGCGGAAATTGAAAAAGTAAAAAAGAGAAGGGAGGAAAGGGCACTTGAGAAAGCACGACATGAGGAAGAAATGGTAAGTCTTTTCTCAATTTATTAGTCAACTCAATAGTCCTTGTGACTTGTAAGAGCATTTATTATGTTTTGTAACTTATGTTAGCTATTATTAGTTTAGGCCTGCACTTGTTACAGTACCACTGTAATCTTTTGCCCTTCTATTCTAATATGGTATACCAATTATGCCCCTTGTCATTTGTTTGTATTCTTTTGGGCGGTTGCACAAGGAGACATATTGGGCCTTTGTCATGTGTTAAGATTGTCAGCGCTATAACCTATGTTATCTTCTTGGGATTTAACACATTCTTTCTCCCAGGCACTATTAGCCAGGGAACGTGCTCGAGCTGAGTTTCAGGACTGGGAAAAAAAAGAAGAGGAGGTACTATGCCTTTAGTTCCTTTTCATTTGTTGTTATTTAAAATAATGTCAGTTTGACGCTTAAACAATTTAATCTGCAGTTTCATTTTGATCAAAGCAAAGTTAGGTCGGAAATTAGATTGCGTGAAGGGCGTGCCAGACCAATTGATGTCCTAACCAAGCACCTCAATGGATCTGATGATCTGGATATAGAAATAAATGAACCATATATGGTCTTCAAGGTTAATATTTAGCTTTTTTCTTTTCGCTTTGTTTATCCTATTCCTAACAATCGCAATGTCACATAGTATGATTAAAGATATCCAACTTTTAAATGCTAATATTATTGTACAAGTTGCATAGTGATTTGATATTTGGTGCAGGGTTTGACTGTGAAAGAAATGAACGAGCTTCGTGATGACATTAAAATGCATCTGGACCTTGACAGGGCAACACCAACCCATGTGCAATATTGGGAGGTACCACCGTTTCCATTGATTTCTACAGATTACTTAATAACTCCTACCTTATCTGAGCTAGTTGGACTTTCATGACTTTTTCTGTTTTAGTTAACTTGCATGGTTATTGTGGTTGACATTTTGTTTAATTAAAGTTGAAGACTCGTTGAGTAATGTCATCATGCAGGCACTCCTTGTAGTGTGTGATTGGGAGTTAGCTGAAGCTCAAAAAAAGGATGCACTTGATCGAGCTAGGGTGCGTGGAGAAGAGCCTCCTGCTGAGCTGCTTGCAGAAGAAAGGGGTCTGCATTCCAGTATTGTGCCAGATGTGAAGAGGCTTTTGCAGGGGAAGACACATGCAGAGTTGGAGGCTTTACAGGTTCACATTGATTCAGAGATGCGTACTGGTACTGCAAAGGTGGTTGAGTATTGGGAGGCCATTTTGAAACATCTCCACATATACAAGGCCAAGGTATTCTCCATCACGTTGTTTTCCAATTTTTTTACATGCCTTTAAGCAATGGTTTTTCTAACTGCATTTTTTAATTGCTGCCAATGCAGGCTTGTTTAAAGGAAATTCATGCTAAAATGCTACGCAAGCATTTGCAACATCTTGAGCAGCCATTGGAGGATGAAGATACATTGGAGAATGCTCATGTTATGATACCTGAGGAGGAAGTTACTGAGGATGATGTAATAGGTAAAAGCTTTTTGTTGTCATTTAGTTGTTCATAAAACAATTTTTTATTGGCTCCATCCATTTCAACTTTAATGTTGAAATTGGCTTTATTTCTTTTTCTTGGTAGTTCAATCTGCAGATGAATCTTTCTCACCAGAGCCTGTTAGAGAGGATCAACAAACTGAAGATGAGGCTGGATCATTTTCTCCACAGCTGTTGCATGGTGATGAAAATGAGGAAGCTATTGACCCTGAAGAGGATAGGGCTATGCTGGTACTCTTTCTAAGCATGATTTTTAATTGCGATATCATACTTAATGTGCGTTTGGTTCAACTTATTTTAGAGAGATAATCGCTTATTTTTACCAATTTTCTGAGAAAGCTTTTGAAAAATAAGCGATTATATCTCTGATATAATCAATTACCAAATAAGGGTTTAGTGGATGTTTGGAAACACCTAAATTGGGAGAAATAATCACTTATTTTTCAAAAGCTCTCTTGAGGAGTTGGCAAAAAATAAGCTAGTATTTCTTTAAAATAATCTAAACCAATCATGCATTTAATTTAGACATTATAACTTGACCCTGTTAGTACATATGTAGGAGCGGAAACGTATGGCTGTATTAGAAGAGCAGCAAAGACGAATTCAGGAAGCAATGGCATCAAAGCCAGCTTCTTCTGAAGATAATTTTGAGATGAAGGCCCTAAAAGCTATGGGGGCTATGGAAGATGGAGATGCTGTGTTTGGATCTGGTGCTGAAGTGAACCTAGATTCCCAGGTATAATGTCTGGGGCCTCTTGGCCATATATATAGCTTCTTCACTCATTGTGAAATGGCATATGGCATCAGCTGGTCATTCTTCATGATTGTTAGAATTTTGAATTTTTCATGGATAGAAAAATATGTAGTTAGATAGGAATACAGTGTTCTGGATTTTTGAGGTAATATTATAAGTTGTGAATTGGTATCTTTGAAATCTTGCATATTGTATTCGTATCCCTTGGTTACTTCTCTTCACAAAATAAAGTTGGCACTAGAGGGAGCTTGCACTAAATATTATATTTTCATACACTAAATACACTTCCAATGGTATATTTTGGGATTTTGAGGGGAAACAGAAACTTAATTTATATTCTCATCTTTTAAAGTTCCTGGCTGACTGATAAATGTTGGAGCAGGTTTATTGGTGGCATGACAAATACAGGCCTAGGAAGCCAAAGTATTTCAACCGTGTTCATACCGGATATGAGTGGAACAAATATAATCAGACTCACTACGATCATGACAACCCGCCTCCAAAGATTGTGCAAGGATACAAATTTAATATCTTCTATCCTGATCTTGTAGACAAGACAAAAGCCCCAACCTACACCATCGAGAAGGATGGCAGCAATGGGGAGACTTGCATCATAAGATTCCATGCAGGGCCACCATATGAAGACATAGTAAGTCAATTATCCTTTATGCCATGAATGATTTTTACTTTTTGATTCATTTACTTATTACTTGCATTTTCCATGACAGGCTTTCCGCATTGTGAACAAAGAATGGGAATATTCTCATAAGAAAGGTTTTAAGTGCACATTTGAACGTGGAATTCTGCATGTGTACTTCAATTTCAAACGCCACCGCTACCGTAGATAATTTCACACAAGGCAATGATCACTTTCTTTAGATTTTCCCTTACTAGAAAGGCTATGTGGCTGCCATTTTTAAGAATAACTTTTATGCTATGGTGCTGGCACTAGAGATAGATGGCCGGTAAATTGAGTGACAGACCAAGAAAAAATTCCAAGGTACACTTGGAGTGATACTCCACTGGTTAAAATCTGATCTAAATCTTGTTATAATATTTTAAATTTAATTTAAGGAGATAGCATGGTCATGTTCTCATCTTGTATTATGTTTTTAATGGATTGAATGTAGTACTCCTGTACATAGAATCTCGAGACCAAGGGTCTTTCGTAATGGTTAGAGATACTAATTACTTGTCTTTTCTTGTTCTTAGGACGCACATTAATCTCATCTCTATCATGTCTTGTTTATCTAGGCTTTCTGTTAGATTGTTGGATATCACATTGTCCTTTCGTTTCTTTAGCAAAAGTTGATTTTTGTACTTCTGGTGATGTATGAAATCTCAAAAGGTGAAAGAATTAGTTGTAGTGGACATATAATTAGCTACGATAACAATTTCACTTTGTTGGGATCCTTTAGGCATTGTTTTGGAGTTTAGGGTAGAGATAAGGGAAGGGGGAGGAAGGGGGCGAATCCCCTCCCTTATATGGATATTAATTTGTCTACTTCCCCTCTCCTTGCTTCCCGAAAATGGGAAAACTTGAAAATTACACGTGAGAAAGGTTTTTGGGGCTTCTAGATTTCCCTTATTCCTTCTATTTTTGTAACTCCCAAAGAAAGGTCCTTTCCTTCTCTTTTCTCCTAAATCAAACTCATAGACAAAGGCTTAAGGTTTTGTCTAACATTCACCTTGTTGTTGAAGGTCCATGGATGTCTCTCGGTCCATATTACTGTGGATTTTGCATTGAAGGAAAAAAGAAAAGAAGGTAGGAACCATTATTGACATGATGTTGAACTGCCAAAGCTTTTAAGAAATAAGAATTCGCAAGGGTGGCCCTGAAACTACCATTCCCATACCTGACCTTGCTTTAGCCATGTACGAGCTCACCCAGCTGCAACATGCTTGAATCCGGCCATGACTAACCTGCTAACAAGCTCACATACCTTACACATAAGCTGCAAACTATATAGGGGACGACAGGATCTCAGTTCATACTTAAAAGTTTGCGTTACGTTTGAGTGATCATATGAGTCTTGAAACGGTTCAAGTAAATAATACTTCCTTCCTCTTAACAGCAGAAAAAATCATAATTTTGAGTGTTTTGTTCAGGATTGTCCTAAAAGCAATAAATTTTGAAAATTTGTTAATTATTGTAAAAATAAGAGAAATTCTATTCATATTTGTATTTTTATAACATTTTCTACGACTAAGAGGGAGAGAGGAAGAGAAGTAGAAGTGAAATGTAAGATGAGTGATATACTACAGAGAAGTAGAAAAAAATTTGTTGTAAAAGAGAACTTTTCGATATTCTGTCATGAAATATGTAAATAATAAAATAATTATTTTATTTTATTTTATCTACTATTTTATTTGATTTTATTGTATCGATTGTTAATATCTAAACAGAACCTAAATGTTCAGATGAGATTAAGATTTAGGTAGAGAAAGTATAAACAAATTGTGTTAATCATTAGGTGTACCAGGGACTGCAGGACAGAAATAGAAAATATTATCAAAGTATTAATAAAACAAGATGGTTTCAATATGCATGCATGCATCTCTGTCTGTCGTGTCTTTCTATTTATAATATACATCAGTTTATTGTCATGCTTAAGTTATAATTCAACCTACCGTTTTCGTAGAGTTCTTGAGAGGAGGCACAATAATTATTCCTTTTTTTTTTTTAAATACGGTAGTAAAGAATTTAAATATTTTATCTTAAAGTTAGTGGCATGCATATTGGGGTCCCAAGTACAAAAGTCCTCCTAGAAAATTATCTCAGAAACCTTTTTTTAATTTTTCTTATCATGATAAAAGGTTACTCAAGTATATTATGAGCATCAATATTAGATTTCTGTGATGAGAGAGGAGACTACCAAACTAGATTAGCAGTTGAAGGGAACCAAATTGTTCACATAAAAATGTAAGGCTAATCCAAGTTTGCTAGTTGACGGCTATAAGAATACCGTGGTGGCTCCTTGGCAGCGCGTGGACATAGAAAGTGTTGAATTTGAATAATTACTTCGCTCCTGCGAATTAGTTTTGCCATTACCAACACTAGCTAAGTTTTTTTGTGATGCCATAATTACCTATCCACTGTGAGGAGCAGTGGAAAAGTTTAAGAGAATTATGCAAAGCATTATAGGGACTAATGACATTGCTTTTGACTTATCCCACTCTGTATTTTAAATTAATCTTTTTCTCCCACCAGCGAGTAAGTCCCTTGTATAAGTTGCTTATCAGATTATATCCATCCTAACTAAACCGGTCTCTCAGTTTTTACGGAATATTCTTGCCATATTCTGCTGTATAATATTTTTATTTATTTATGTAGCATCGACTTTATAAAGAAAAGAAAATACCTCCTTAATTTTCAATTATATTTGAGTGAAAAGATTAACATCATTTTATAGTATTTTTTTTAACATGTGCAACATTATACATTATAGGAATTTATATATAATAATTTTTTTATTAACATAAAATTTATTATAATTCAATGCACAGACACTATTAAATGATATGTTTTTTAATCAAAATTTACTAAATATAACTTATTTTGTCTAATGTCACACCGATTAAAAAAATAATTATAATGTCACAAGTCCCAAATTGTAATATAAATTACTTTATTAAAGCGTGGATTTAGGATAATTATCAAATGAATAACAATCATTTCAGCATAATTACGATAATAATCTAGACAAGTATATATATATATATATTCATATTATAAATTCATCCTTAACTAATTTGTTATGACATATTGGAAAAATGAGTGAAATTTCTATAAATCTAATATGGTTAATAACTTGGGTGTATTACACTAGTACATTTTTCACATATTGCTTTTAAGTAAATACTAACCAGTGTCTTTAGAACACAATTTCAAAAACTAAAAAAAATTATTTAAAAATATAATAAATTCACTTTTTATGTTTTTTTTAATGCAATTTAATATGATTTTTAATAAAAAAAAATATATACTTTTAAATATCACATTTACTAATGAGAACTTAATAATTTATTGCTTGATTAATATACTCAATTTATGCACATATATATGTGTGTGTAAATGTCAAAAAGTGAAAACCTTTACAGATATTGAAATTGCGATTAACCGAAACCTTTGATGAGGTAATTGATTCTATATTGTCAAATTTACCGTAAAATACATCAATTATATTGATTCCAAAATATCTATTTTACATTAATCACTAATTTTGACTATATATAAGTGATTGGCTACACGTTCAACTATATAGACACGTGCATGCAATAAACTTATGATTGAGAACAAATTTAACTTCAATAATTGACTTAGTTAATAATATTACTGGGCCGTTTATCTGTCCTCTAACTTATATATATATATATAGGATTCCCTTGCAAAATGCTTGGGAAAAAATCTTTAAAATAAAATACTACTCAAGTTTTGCAATCAATTTACAGGAGAGCCATATTGAGCTGGAAATTTTTTGGTGCTAAAATGACACGTTAAAAGTTAATATTTATGAGAGAATATTATTTTTTAATTAATTGGAGGGACAAAGAAAGAGACAGAAAATAAGGACAGGAAATTGAAGTCCTTGGTGTCAAACGAAACATAACGTATGGTTAACAATATTGTTGCAGGTTTAAATTTTAATTTTATCAATTATTTTAAACATAGCTGCAAAAGGTTCTCTGTTAAATCCTACAATTTCCTCATAAATGGTATGTCTTTGGTCATTCACTAAGAAGTACTTAGCGAATAACAATGGGTAAGTACATCATTTATTGCTTTGAAAATATATACAAATAATGTTTTTATATATGTGGAGAATTAACGTTTTTATATACTAGGTAAAAGATCGCATATAATCCTTCATGGATGAGACTAATCATAGCTTTTTAATGAAGCTTTCCTTGTATAACAAGAATGGATTTCCATTTAAAAGTCTAATTGAAAATGCTTTCCTAAATTGCAAAAGGAAGATTACTTTGGACAAAGAAAGAAATCCATTCTCAAAAGATTCTAGTAACTGCATATACTTTTGAATAGTTCATACTTTCTACACAAAGCATCTGATTCCAATATTTCCCTATTCTTCGCCACCCAATCAAACTCAGTTTTGGAATCACTTTACCTGCTTTCTCAGTGGGCTAATCACTATCTATCAAGACCAAATTGCAACTACATTGTTTCCATATTAATACAGCTTTTATGTTTTGCAGCATAAATAATTAAATACTAGCTAGAATAACAATTACACATTTCATTTATTATCATAACAGAAACCCCTTATGTATTATTTCACTCTTGTTCTACAATCCTAATTATGCATAGTAAGCGCTGAACAATGTCCCTCATACTAGGCCTTTCACCTTTCTTCTCCTTTAGACAGTCAAGTGCAAGCTCCAAGAAGAGTTTTATGCTTGTGTTCATTTTATCACCTGAAGGCTCCAAGGAAACAAGCCTTTGATCCACCACTTCCACGATTGTACCATTGCTAGCATGTTGAGTCACATGAATTGCTAGGTTGACATCATCTTGATCACGATTGAAGTCTATTGCTTTCTGAGAAGTCAAAAGCTCTAACAACACAACCCCATAACTATAAACATCACTTTTATCTGTTAACTGGTAGTTGCGGTAGTATTCAGGATCCAAGTACCCAAGTGTTCCCTGAGCACATGTTGACACGTGACTAAGTCCTGGGGAAGCCAATCTTGAGAGCCCAAAATCTGAGACTTTGGCATTGAATTCATCATCCAATAGTATATTTGTTGACTTAACATCTCTATGGTAGATGGGAGTGTGTGCAGCAGAATGCAAATAAGCCAATGCTTCAGCAGTTTGAAAAGCAACTTTAAGCCTAGTTTTCCAATCTAAAAAGTTGGAATACCTACCATGAAGATGGTCATAGAGGGTCCCATTTGAGATATACTCATAGATCATCAATGGCTGATCAGATTCCACACAGCACCCCAAGAGCCTGACCAAGTTCTTGTGATTGACTTGAGAAAGTATTGCAACCTCATTAAGCACTTGTTGGGTGCTTTTAAGGTTTCCAACTCTAGCTTTCTTCACAGCCACCAGTGTTCCATCTTGTAATTCACCTTTGTAAACTTCTCCAAAGCCACCACTCCCTAAGATCCTGTCTTTGGAAAAACCATTTGTTGCTTTCTTCACTTCTTTCAGTTGAAACATTCTATAAGGTTTCTCCCCAGCACTTGATTTCAGCTTATCTTCTCTTTCCTTGG